ATAAATGCGGTTGTGCAAGCGTCCATGCGAGACACATCTTACAAAGTTCAGGTATGTTTATTCGATTGAATCAATACATCACAACAATTTCTAACTATATTTAAGAGTTTAATTAAGATATCTTTGGTAAATAATGAAAGATCGAGAAGAGTTTGGGCCTCTCCACCTCATCCATGTTTTTGAATTAAATAAATTGAAAATATCACGTAAAACGTGTTAAGGCAGTATATAGTCAGATACACATGTTTATTGTTTTTTTTTCAACTTTAACAGATATTTCTGGAAAATGAAGAAAACAGTACTGGTTCCATAAAATTATCGACATGTGAATGTCCAATGGGCCAGTTTCGCTGCCACCATGTAGCTGCAGCACTTTTGTTTGGGTACATGAACTTGAAGCTTCTCAACTCTTTTTTTGTGTTTGTTTTTTGTTTATTTTAATATAATTTAAAAGATACCTTTACGCCCCATCTGCATAATTTTCCGATTGGATATGACACGGGATACCCTGGTGACGTCACAATTACATCTTTACCGAGAGGAACTTCTATCATTCCACCACAGTCTTAGAAAATATTCAGTTGGTCAATTTTTTTTTAAAGATACTTCACTGACAAAAATTAAATTTATTATTTTACCTTATAGATAACAATAGATATTTCTGGGAAAGACAATAATACTGTATAAAAGAAAAGTTAAGCATTTGCAAAAATAGATATACAAGATGACTTTACTTTAACAGTTACCTCTGTTTCAAGAAGAACCATAAAACCTTTTTTTTGCTCAGTTTATTCAGACACATCAGTATTTATATTAAACAATTCCTATAATAACTTCAATGCTTCAATCGCTAATTAAGTTGTCAATTACCATCATCCGTGATCACAGTTCCACACGTGTCACCTTGATACCCTTTTGGACAGTAACAGACACAGTTGTGGTTGACAAATCCTCCATTCTCACACTTTGGTGGGTTCACACATTCTTCTACAGATGCAAACAAATATTACATTTCAATTTCTAAAGCACACATAGTGAAATTTGTTCATCATGAATTTTTAATGAAGATTTTTGCATTTCAGCAAAGTATGCGCAGATTTTCAGCGAATGTTTGTGGATAAGCAATTGTTTTTATAAAGAGGTGAAAAAGTTTGTTAAATCAGCTTTCGATTTATCTTATGCATTATTTAAACCAACAGAGACTCACCAGTACATAAGTAATTTGCGGTGATATCCTTGACATCATAGAAATCAAGAGCGACCCCGGCCCCTGTCCCAGCTAGAAACTCCAGGTCTCTGTCCAGAAATTCCATTGTTTGACCACCAGTGACCGAAAAGGACTGAAATAGGCATTTATTTGTTAATAATTAATATATTTATTTGGTATAAATTGTCATTACGTTATCAAGTTCATTTCCTTCACTCACACCAACATCAGTGGTACATGAAATACAGAATATAAATAAGTCGTACATGTACATGATGTACATGTAAATATATGATACAATAGCATAAATGAGTGGCAATTATACATATGTACAAACTAGTGCTAATTGTAACGGGGACCGTTACAGATGTTCCCCAAACGCTCCCCAACTCCCTTTTGGTGCCATATTCCCTGTAAGCTTCATTAAATAAGACAAACTCGATGCATTTGACACTTTAACAACGTTTACCCAGAAGTGTACAAAGTTCATTCAAATTTTAGCATTGCACGCGTGTGCGTGTGAATGCATGTGCGTAATGACCATATCATCTTGTCTACACAATCTATATATTTTAATATACTAAATATTAAAGTATTTAATCCAAAAGTATTAAAAAGATACGCTCATTCAAGTGTTTTTTTGATTTTGCTCATTTCACATGCACGCACGTGCATACATGAGCATGGTGACCATTTCTTCTTGTAGATGTCCGTTACATCTATCTATGTTCTAAATCTCACCCCGTTTGGTTGAAAACCAAGGGAGTTATAGCTGTTTAAAGTTTCAGCCAATCAGATTGCAGCGCACGTACATGCATGTGTATGCATGTGCATGGTGACCATATTTTCTTGTAGTAGTCCAGTATATCTATCTATGTTCCAAATCCCATCCTGTTTGGTTGAAAATCAAGGGAGTTGTAGCTATTTAAAGTTTAAGCCAATCAGATTGCAGCGCACGTGCATGCACGTGTTTTCATGATAATTGCTACATATCATGTTGTAGGATATCCTAATGCATGGCAATTTTCAAAATTTCAAAGGATTTCGTCAAAAAACAAGAAAGATATTGAGACTTTAGTTTCAGCCAATCAGAGCAAAGCGCACGTGCATGCGCGTGAGATCTTGCTATTTTGACCATTTCATATTGTCTATGCTTCTAATATATCCTTATATTATAGGTTTCAAAGTATTTCATCAAAAATTTTAAAAGTTACGCCTATATCAATTAAATCGTTCATTTCACATGTTGCACGTGCACGCTCTTGCAAGCACGTGCGCGCAAAATGACCTTCGTTCCGCAAATCTACATAACATGTCTACTGACCCTAAAAACATTTCACCTTAGTCGGATGTATAGTTTACGAGATCATTCCCGGACAAAAAAGTACCCAGGAAGAAGAAGAAGAAGAAAAAAAATAATAATAACTAGAGCAAAGCTCGTTGCAAAGCAACGAGTAGGTCTTCCGTCCTGTTTGACCGGAAGTAGCTTTCATTTTCAACAAAAATGAGAAATAACGCCTAGAAATGGTTTGAATCCTCTAAAGCTATGTTAATTAATGCAAAATTAAGCAATTTTTGCTACTTTTGGTTTAACCGGAAGTGACGATGACGGACGGAAAATTAATTTTTATGCTCCAAGAGACATGTTACCAAAAAACTTGAAAAGAACGGCAAAAATACCCGTTTTTGACTACTCCCGGTTTGGCCGGAAGTGACGACGCCGGACGTATTTTGACGACTCAGATAGATTAAGCTTGTCATTTTGAACAACTTTGCTTCTTTGAAGTATTACAAATTCTCAATACTTTCCGAGATATCAAGTAAAAATTTTTGGCCCCTCTAGATCCCTTATTTTAGGGGTCAGCCCTTTTTTCGAGATATCATTTGAAAGATGTTAGAATTCTTCACAATTTTTGTTCTATATGTTTTAACAAAATATTTACAAGTAAAAAGATATAATAGAAAAAGTGTAAAAAAATTTTGAAACGCTCAATAAGGCTTTTTTCAGACCATACCGAGCGTTAACGTGCAGTACTTCAGGTGAAAGTTAACAACACAATGCAAATCTACATTTGTTGCTCTATCTTCCAGACAAGGTTTCATCTTCCTGTGATGAGCGATTTTTAAGAAGAGCGACGGACAAAATGACCTTTAAAAATCAAAAAATTGCGAAAATTTTGGAACCGGAAGTGACGTCATCAAAATGAAAAAAAATGCATCAAGTTTTTAATATATTTTATTAGACCTGAAAAATTCATAAAAATCTAACGAGCCGTTTTCGAGAAATCGCGTGCACAAAATCGGGGAGAAAAAAAATAATAAGAAACACAAAACGGGGAGAAAAAAAATAATAGAGCAAAGCTCGTTGCAAAGCAACGGGTAGGTCTTCCGTCCTGTTTGACCGGAAGTAGCATTCATTTTTAACAAAAATGAGAAATAACGCCTAAAAATGGTTTGAATCCTTTAACACTATGTCAATTTATGCAAAAATAAGCAATTTTTTACTACTTCCGGTTAGACCGGAAGTGACAACAACGGACGAAAAAAAATATTTTTTTGCTTCTAGAGATATTTGTTACCAAAAAACTTATCAAGAACGGCAAAAATACGCGTTTTTCGACTACTTCCGGTTTGGCCGGAAGTGAAGACGCCGGACGTTTTCTGACGACTTCAATAGATTAAGCTTGTCATTTTGAACAACTTTGCTTCTTTGACGTATTACAAATTCTCAATACGTTTTGAGATATAAAGAAAAACCTGTTGGCCCCTCTAGGCCCTTAAATTTAGGGGCCAGCCCTTTTTTCGAGATATCATTTGAAAGATCTTTAAATTCTGCACTTCTTTTGTTCTATACATTTTCACAAAATATTTTCAGGTAAAAAGATATCGAAGAAAAGGTGTGAGAAATTTTGAAATTTGTGATAGGTCTATTTTCGGGCCATAGCGAGCGCCGACGAGCGTCACTTCCGGTAAATTTGATATACCTAATGCACCTCTCCAGACATAGCTCTACCTAGCCTCAAAGTTTGAAGTTTCTATCTAGAGCCGTTTTTCGGGAAAATTGTGGACAAAATGACCCTTAAAAATCAGAAAATCGACGATATCTCTAGACCGGAAGTGACGTCATCGAAACGGAAAAAAACGCATAAGGTTCAAGTGATGTTCCATACGTCCTGAAAGTTTCATAAGATTTTGTTGAGCCGTTTTCGAGAAATCGCGTGCACAAAATCGGTAAGAAAAAAAAAATAATAATAAAAGTGAAAAAGAAACCGAAGAAAAACAATAAGGTCTTCCGCTGAAGACGGAAGACCTTAAAAACAGTGGAAAAGAAACAAACGAATAACAAGAAGGTCTTCCGCTGAAGACGGAAGACCTTAATAAGAAACAGAGTAAAAACAATATGTTCCCCAACTTCGTTTGGGGAACATAAATATAGGAATAAACATACACTGAGCAAAAAAAATTACAATGAAACAGTTGAGAAACAAAATATCACATCAACATTACTACTATTAACTAGAAAGCTTATTGTATTACAAAACCATATTAGGGATTATTCTTGTAATACATAGTTTGGGAGTTAGAACTACTTAAAAATCAAAATAATGAATAAAAAATTAAAATAAGGAGTTAATCTGCACGCATTGATGCTAGTAATTAAATGTACGACATGTTTTAAGGTTCTTGAACATATATGTTGATATTTACCCATAACCCGTACTGCATAATACTCTCGTAGTCATATGCATTGCGGTCAAATGTACTGGTCTTTGCCATGTTACCATTGTGAAAGTTTTCCTTGAGATTTTCTTTAATCATGCGGATATAGTCGTCACGGTCAGTGCGTGATTGCTCATGCATCAAACCCACGGCGTGAAGCATCTCATGCACCGCTATACCAACCTACAGATAAAAAAGAAACAAACAGTTCTTACATCACAAGTCATTCTCGTCACGCATATTTTCGATTTCAATGAATATTTAAATTTGTTTAAAGATAAATTTTTCCTTTAAAAATATTAAAAGTATTCTAAAAAGTTTTTTGAAAAAAATGTTCAAAAAATTTATCTTTATCATGTTTATAGTAAGAAAACATTTTGTCTTCTCAGATCTTACGCTCATACACCCCCTCTGTGACATTCCAATGACTTGAGGACTACTTCTTATGTACCCAACATAGGACCAACATCCGCTACAAAGAGGCACGTATCAGAGTATTTATACAGTAAAACCTGTCTAACCTGAATAATTTGTAATCTAAAGAACAAGGTATGATTTAGTATTATTGTGCCGTAAAAATTTAATGATTTCAAAAACTTCTGAAACTAGCTTAAATATTAGTTGAGTTTATGACTGTGAAAGATCAGGAAAGAATATGGCATGAAGGAGTACCATTCTGGAAATAGGACGTCATTAATTTGATACATTTCTCTATTTTAAAAAGAAAAATGCCTCAAAATCACCCATTTCAAGGGAATTTTCCTTTAGAAAATAGTGTCCACAGCCGCCACCCACTTTAATATTTGGATATAATGTGCAAAATACAATGAAAAATTACATGTCTCAAAATTTTTGTGGGCGATGCCTGTGGACAAAATTTTTTGAAAGAGAATTCCATTGAAAATTGATGTCTTCTGCAACATTTTAAGAAAATAAGGGTAAATTCACATGTTTATGACGTCACAATTAGCATTTAGAAATGTATGTGAGAAAAATGATTTGTATAATTTTCTGCATGGAATTTAAATGATTCAAAATACACGAGTTTTCATTTTTTACACCAGTTTCCTTTTTAAGAAATTTGCAGGGCAAGATTTGTATTGAAACTGTACTTTTTCTTCTTATCTATAACATGTGTATAATAATGTTAACTTTTTCAAGTTACAAAACTATAGGGTGTGTCTTGATATTTACAAATTGGTACAGAAATACATCAGAATAATTTATGTAAAAAAATTTCAAATTCATTAAATCTTAATAATTATAGTATATATCATGCAATACAAATGCAATAATACAAAGACCATCAAAAGTTTGTTTTTTTTTAAATAGAGTTAAATAAAAAAAATATATGAAGAATTCTTTTTAAGTACATATATTTACATTTGCAAATAATTTTCTTTATATAACACTACTGAAAGCAAGCGTATTTATTTTAAGAAATAAGGTATCATTTTTTGAGTGTTATTGGGATGTAAAACGGGTTGGTCACGTGATCAAATCCCATAAAGCCCAAATGGCTTTATGGAAGATTTGATCATGTGCCAACCCGTTTTACTTAAGGAATGACTCTAATTCTTGGCCAAATTATCGAGTATAATATGGTTTGGGTCTGTTTACGCTTTATAATCCGCGAAGCGGATTATAAAAAAGCGTAAACTGACCCAAACCATATTATACTCGATAATTTGGCCAAGAATTAGAGTCATTCCTTATAATTTAATTTTAAAATAATTAAACAACTGGGGATGTGAAATTGTGTTGTTTTTATGAGTTCAAATTTACCGCGCAATAATACAACCGTAGTAACGGAAGTGATGGGAAGCGAGGGGAGGTAATAACTGATACATAGATCTAGCAGCCATGATGCTTGTTTACATGAGGTAAGATCGAGCAACTGTTTGAAATTAAAGGTACATTCATTAAATCTGGAATTTTCCATGAATCCCAAGGACTGGAAATGAGGGGATTGATGGATACAGATGATTATGCTGGTTGTCAAGGGGGTGTGTCCCCATACCAAACCAGATTATACAAAATGTTATGCGTTCCTTTTTGGAAATCAACCAATGAGAGGCAAGAATACAAGCAAAATTAAATTATATCCCAATAACACTAAAGAAATGATACATCATTACTTATATTTACATTTGTGACTTATTAATACTTTAAATTTGCCTGATTGTGACTTTTAACGTGTAAAAAACATTATTTTTCAAACCCAACGGCATGTATGTAATTCACTGAACGCGCGCTGACCCTTTATGACGTCACTGAGAAATTACGCTTATCCATACGAACATCTATGACCTCTTGACCCCGTACTTGTATTTATTATAGGATTAAACGTTCTTTTTTCAGAATTTATCGATGTGTAAACTCTGCCTTTTTACTCACAAACTGAATAAAAGTGCGAAGCACTTTTATGTAAAGTTTATGAGTAAAAAGGCAGAGTTTACACATCGATAGATTCTGAAAAAAGAACGTTTAATTCTTATAATTCCAATGACGAATTTTTTTAAATAATTAAAATTATTTCCCTTTGAGGCCGCCATACAATCCGTTATTTTGTACGGCGTAGGAATACTTTATGCCGCAAAGAAACGTATACAAGATGAATATCGATAAAATCCAACTTAAATTGTCAAAACAATCAATAAATAAACTTATAAAAACTCATTGAATGTTGTTTAAGTCAATAAATATCGTAAACACGCGTATTCTCCAGAATAATTCGTCCTTGACCATGGTCACGTTGACATTTTAACAACAACGTCATAACGAAAGATGCAGACCGACGACGTCCTCCATTTGCTCTGGTTCGTTCAAAGATTTAGGGAGAATATGGGATCATGAAAACATATGAATTTGATGATAAAAAGGCAAGAGTCTGAGGTACGTTTCTTTTCCCTATCACATTGATACCAACTGAGCGGATATGGAACGTCGAGAAAATGACAGTATAATCAGCGATTTTTTAAAATTCACACTCGTGATCCGACAGTTACATAAACATAATATTCCCGTCAGTCAGTCCTGTTTATCTCCTTTTCATTCATTCATTCGATCATTCATTCATTCATTTTTATTTCAAGTTTCTTGTAATCATAATTCAGCTAAAACGGACTAGAAGTATCTGTTTTCAAGAAAGTAGTTCTAGGCTAATATGAAGAATTCATCGATGTGTAAACTTTTTCTTGAATTTGTTTTCGTCCAATCAAAACACAGGGAATCAATAAATAAAATTAAGATTGGAATTATACAGTTATATTTACATTACATATATTTTTTGCATATAAAGTGAATGGAAATCTATTGCATTCAAAACACCATAACACAGACAGGGTGCCAAGAGGTTAAAGCATGCGTTTTAGTTTGACGTCATAATCGTTGAACGCCGAGGAAGTGCAACGTCACAAGCGAAAATCAAAAAATCACGTTCAAATTGACCAGAAGCTGTTACGTTGGCTGATCCATTAAATGTAGCTCACACGAAGGATAATACATAGGTTTTTAAATAGAAATAACATTTGCAGTTCAGATAGAAAGTTTTAAAAATGTAAATATAAGCAATGAATCAATATTTTTTGAGTGATATAGTTTCGTTCATAACTGCAACGGTGTGTGCAAACAAATTTTCATAACGCGCTAACGCGCGTTATTCAATTTGTTTGCACACACCGTTGCAGTTATGAAACTATATCACTCAAAAAATAATGATTCATTGCTTAAATAAAAACGCTTGCTTTCACTAGTGTTATATAAAGGAAAACATTTGCAAATGTAAATATAACTGTATAAATACAGGTACGGCGTCAAGAGGTCATAGATGTGCGTATGGATAACCGTTCTACGTAATTTCTCAGTGACGTCGTAAAGGGTCGATGCGCGTTCAATGGATTACATACATGCCGTTGGGTTTGAAAAATAATGCATTTCACACGTTAAGTCGCAATCAGGCAAATTTAAAGTACGAATAAGTCACAAATGTAAATATAAGTAATAAGATATCATTTTTGGAGTTTTATTGGGATGTAAAACGGGTTGGTCAAATCCCATAAAGCCCGAATTAATTAAATCTATTATACTTACTCTGAGTCTCTGAACTGTACATAATTATTGTGACCCACTTGTTCCGCTAGTTCTGGTGTATAAGGTAGCCATTTTAGACAGGTTAGATTGTTGAACAGCTCAGCTGCTTTGTTGAAGATAGCATAGCTTCTTTCACTTACTAGAAAAAAACATGGAGTGTTCTACGAAAAACTGTTCAAACAAGTGCGTTATGCATAAAATAATAATTTTATAGTGTTAAAAATTTTTGCAACTACCGATGTTAGCTCTTTATATAAAAAATGATTCAATATAATTGAGAAAGTATCATTTTATGCGATATCTCTAAGACATGGTTATAATGAATACCGGTACTTGTAATTTTTTAATTATCCCACAGGAATAAGTTAACGTTTTATAACAGGGTGCTTATACAACTGCAGAAAATTTTCAATGACTAAATCAATCTGATTACAATAAAATTAAACCTTCCACTACCTACTTTATTTTAACGATCACGTGGATTCTTGCGGAAGTTCGGATTTTAATCAGACTTTGACAAAAGTTATAAAAGTTTTCATCAAAATATTATGTCTGATGCCTCCATGGTTTCAAAAGTGGTGCTAAAGTTTAAAAACAAAATAGCTTTTCAACAAATATTTTATGAAATATTACATGAAAGACAATAAAATACATGATATGTCATACTGCATTTAATATCAGATACTACCGGGTATGTGTTTACCTATGGTGTTATTGTCTATGTCAAAGGGAACGATATTTTTCGGCCACTTCCAAGCTGCCCTCCAAAAACTTCTCTTTTTTCTGCGTACCTGAAGCAAAGAATAATTGACAAATGTTTATACATGAAACGGTTTAAATAAGTTTCTTTAAAACCTATTGAAATTTTTGGTTATGTTGTTTTTGCACATTGCAGTTGTACAGGAAGATATACTGTAAAACCTCAGATTTTCGTGGGGCCAAATTTTCGAGATTTTAGAAAAAAAATTGGGAATTTTATTTCGTGGTAAGAGAAGTGTTAACTAGTAATTTATCTTAATTTTTACACTTCGTGGTAGTCATGAAATTGGTGGTCTTTCCATGCTGCGAAAACAACGAAAATTAAACCTCATGAAAATTGATGATTTCATAGTAAGTTATGAAATTGTAATTATAAAATTACCATATTAAATTATGAGTACATATATTTATTTAAATCATTAGAATTTTACCTGGTCTCCTGAGATCTGCTCTATCTCAGATTGTTCCGGGGTTAAGGGGTGCTTGTCCATGCCTTGACCTTTAGCAATCATTGATAATTCGGGATGCAAACCTTTGGCCTTTTAAATATATCAGTTTATCATTCAACCAAAAACATAAATATTTTCTTTTCATTTATATTTTAGATTCAACAAATAGACAACAGAATTTCTACATTAAATAGAAAAATAAAAATGAATAATTAATAGGAATCCTGACCAAAAAAATGTTGAAGAAAAACACTTGTAAATTAAAGTAAAAATTTATTTAATCAAAGTTCATGGTGTTCTTTATCACAATTTCAGTTTTCCTTTATCCAAAGGAAGGCAATTATAGGTTAAAATATACAAATGTTCCTTAAAAAATTTACTGTGACAAACGATGTTCTTTAATTTATACTCTTACAAATATATATCAGTTGTAAAAGCAGAAAAATATTCGTGGGGGATTTAAAATCGTTTAATTCGTTGTAAACAATTATAAACGAAATTAATTCACACACTAAACTTTTAAATGACTATCTATTTAATAGGGTTTCTTTCCAAACATCGAAATTGAATGCCCACGAAACTATTTTAGATGACAATTTATCGAAAATTTATTATTCTACAGTAACACATCTACGACGATACTCCAGAAGAACCCTACTTTTATCAAAGATAAAATATATGGAGATAACAGTATTCAAGCTCAAAGTCCATTAAACAATACAAATTTTGGGGCAGAGCATACACGGAGCTCTAAAAATTATAACATTACAGGTGGGATCAGGTGCCATAAATAAGAAGAAAATTATGTTTTAACTCTTTATGCACCTGCGGTAAAGCTTTGTGAAATATTTTTATCATAGTGTCCATACTGTCAAACTTTATTGAGAGAATTTCCTCTTCAGTCCATGTATTTGTTGACACTTGCTTGATTTTCATACAAATAAACTTAAATAGACTAAATCCTAAGGATATTTATGTTTACGGGTTTCAATTATATGCTTCATTTATAAAACAGTCCATGTGTGTTCAATTAAAAAAATTGATAAACAGTCGACACCATACCCGAAGGCTAAAAGTTCTCATTATTATTTTACAGAGAAGTTTTTCAGGCAGGTAGATCTGACCTTGAAGACTCTCCCGTTCTTCTCCATCGCCATTCCTTCCAGTAGTTTCATTAACTTCACGTCATCAGGGTTTACGTCCTAGAAGGGAATTAGATTGACCGTGACTTAATAATTTACTTCAATGAACACTTCAATTTTATACTTGCAATGATGATTTTATAACCTAAATGAACTAATGATGTTCCTGAGTCCACGGTTATGAACATTTTGAAGTTTTCTTTTTTCTTAATTTATTTTAATAAGTTTTCATGTGAACATTTCGTAAGTATAGAAGAAACATGTATGTAAGAATATTTTTATTCTTGATTTATAGGTTTTACGTTTTGTGAAATGTGGCTGTCTCAATCGAATTTAACAATACTTTATATTGAGAGAGAGAGAGAGAGAGAGAGAGAGAGAGAGAGAAAAGAAAGAGTCCTTACTTCTTCATCAATCATTGTGCTGTGTTTTTCCTGAGGGTTATTCTTTTTCTGACCATCTTTCTCTTTAGATTTCTGCTCCTTGTCTTTCTTGGCTTTTCTTTTTTGGGCAAAATCAAGATCTTCCTGTCCAAAGTAATTTTTGAAAAGTCTCCTTCCTTTTTCTTCATGATCGATTCTCTAAATTCACATAAATACAACATTAAATTAAATTCATTTTTAAAGAAAGCTTTATCGGCATGGCACCTGATCCCACCTCTGATGTTTTGGAGGTCCGTGTTTGCTCCGCCGCTACTGTTTTGGTATGTTTAATGGACTTTTGAGCTCGAATACTGTTCGTTATCTCCACGTATTTTAAAATGAAAAATACGAAACGTAACTAAGCAGTATTTAAAAAATAAGCATTAAAAAGAAATGAAAAAAAACTATGCAACAACCCCTTGCACTAGAGACCATTTATTAAATCTTAATAAATTTTGTTTTAAAGCAAGACAAAATAAAGTCAAATCATACATCACAAAAATCTTATTTCTTTTTCATTCAAATTTAATTTAGAAAAGCCGTGCCCTTCATTGGTAACAAATAAAACTAATAATGTTAATCAAGTATTTAGAGATATTTTTATATAAAAAGTTACATAACTTTTAATAGATATTCAAATATGACGACAAAATTCACTAATTAGAGTCAATAATTTAAATAATCTAATACATTGATTGGGCAACATTTATATTTTAAATACAATAATGATAATAATAATAATAACTAGAAACGATCTCGTTGCTAGCAACGAGAGGTCTTCCGTCCGATTCAGGAAAAAAAAATCTCGTAAAATCGAGCTGAAAAGTGATTCAAAATTTTGGTCGCAAAGAGGATTGAACCCATGTCGCCTTTTTCTGTTTTATCCCCAACGCGCAAACAATTAAGCTTTTGGGAGTACTGCTCTAAATATACTTGTGTGTATACTTTTGCAACAGTACACCTGTCTAAGAATCATAAAAGGCGGGTCACTACGTTCTTATCGCCTTTATTTTTTTTCGACGTCTTAAAAGTCTTTGTACACATTACATATATCGTATCTAGCCCAGTTACACTAAAGTAGTGAAACGGAAATTAAGTGTTAAGATTGACACTGAATTGCAAAGTACTACTACGTGAAAGTCCAAGTAGTTTTGCTTACATTTCATGCATTCGTATGTCAGAATGGTTTAATCAAACGCTCAGCTGCCTCCATAAACCCCAATTGCGAAATGACGGAATTGACAAAGACAGCCGCCATCTGGGGCCCGCTTCAGATTTTCTAATATTAATATCTAGAATTCAGATAAGTCAATTTTCAAACAACTTACATAGTTATAATCTAGTTGTTAAAATGAATACTTTTGATCAATAATGTATAACAAATAATTGATCATTACAGAGTTATAGATAAAAGACTTTTGGCCCCTCTTAGCCCTTAATTTGAAGGGTCAGCCCTACTTTTTTTATATCAAATGAAAGGTCTTGCGATATTGAACTTTTTGTCTTCAATATGTTTTAACAAATTATGAACGGGTGTGAAGATATGAGACAAAATGCGTCAAATTTTGTGAGATATTTCTGAGACATTTTTTCGGCCCTACCGAACTTCGGTGCCTTTTGCGCTAGAAAGATTTGGAGACCCAATTACAACTCACCAAACCTTCCTCTATTTTCCCTGAAAATTTCAAGTCCATATCTTAAGTCGTTTCGGAGGAGTTTCCCGGACAAGCCGACCCTCTGAAAATCAGAAAATCGTCCATATCTCACGACCGGAAGTGAGATAATCAAAAAGGAAAAAAACCTATCAAGATCAATTAAATATCTTTCAGATCTGAAAGTTTGGTAGAAATCGGACGAGCCATCTCTGAGAAATCGCTTGCACAAAATCGGTTGGAAGAATAATAATAATAATAGGGAAAAAGAAACCGAACGAAAACAAGAAGGTCTTCCGTTGGAGACGGAAGACCTTAATATACATAAACATAAGAAATTTAATGTAAAACTACTACATACCGCAGCTTTGTCTTCAGGTTCGCTTTCTTTTAAAAATTCCAGTAGTTCTCGAACTTCTTCTCTGATGAAATCTAGTAAATGGTAAGTTTAATTTATTTATGTTTAAAAATTAATTAATTTCTTCAATTATTTATTTCCAAAAAATTACAAAATTATTGCAAATCTTCCAATTGTATATGTTATGCTACTGCGTGATTAAAAAAAGCCCAGAATACCTTCATCTTTCTCTTTTACGGGTACGGAAAATACAGAATTCGAAAGTACTAAGACCACAAAACACACTTGTATCAGCATTTTCAACTGAATAATGGATGGAAATCATTGTACATCAGGTCTTATAAAGGGGTCACGTAGCGAGCACACGGGCTACCGACATTAAAGAAACTCTTCTGATGCTACATCGTTGTTTTTTTTTTTCAATTTCCAGTACATTTATTAGTTTATTTGACGGGTGGGTGAACAACATGCAAAAATCAACAACAGTCCCATGATGAATCCGTTTAATGTTTGTAACAAACGATATCAATACACTACAAAGTTGCTATTAAGAAAATTGAAATGGCATGAAATTGATAATTCAATGCCTTCCAGCTATTTTTTACCTTTTTACACTCAAGTCCCCGGTTGGTCAAAAGACAGTTAAATTTAACACATTAGTTAACACATAGAAATCACTGTGTTTAATTAAACCATCTTATGGACAACCGGATCCTGACGAACAGTAAGTGAACTAGTACGTATCGTACGGACTACAAATTGAATCAAGATAAACTAAATTTCAAAACCTTGACTCTTGTGTTAACCTTTAAGATCAAAGCAAATTTTATTTATATTAAAAATTATTTCATCAGACCAATTTTTTTTCGTATTGAATAATGTTGCTGAAACATATTGCAGTCAAACTCTGAATATGTAAAAAATTTACCGGGTTTAATATGAAAAGAAAGTTAACTTATAACCAACTGAAAAAAAACATATTCTTAAGGATAATAAAATCACTATTTTACAATAACTTTATATTTAAATAGACTATTTATGGTGGCATATTTCTGCCCCCTACCTGCAAGATAAATTATGTTAACATGCAACATAATTATGTAGACATGCAATATATTTATGTTAACATGCAAGTTAATTATGTTGACATGCAAGTTACCAAGCTTATAGCAAAATATAATTTAAATATGGTTAAATTTACTTTCTAACGCTTGTATCTGACATTGCAAGATGCAAAATAATTATGTAGACATGCGACTTATTCATGACAACATGCAATAAAATTATGTGGACATGCGACTTATTTATGTCGACATGCAAGATAATTATGTCGAATTGCAACTTGTTTATGTCGACATGCAAGATAATTATATCAACATGCAACATGTTTATGTCGACATGCGAGATAATTATGTTAACAAGCAAGATATGTATGTTGATAAGCAACTTATTACCTTGCATGTTGACATAAATATCTGTTATGTAAAAATATAGCTCGCAGGTTCACATAAATGAGTAGCATGTTAACATAAATATCTCGCATGTGAACATAAATATCTTGCATGTCTACATAATTATCTTGCATCTCAACATAAGTAACCCGCATCTTGTCATATTTATGTTGCATCTTGCATCTACGATGTCAGATACGAGCGTCAGTACGGGATTGTACCCATTTTAAAACCAGGTTCTCTTAAAAGATTTGTAACTTGCATGTCAACATAATTATCTTGCATGTTGACATAATTTTCTTGCCTGTTAACATAATTTATCCTGCATGTAGGGGGCAGAAATATGCCACCATAACTATTAAATCATATTTCATTAAAGCATTACATGGTAATTTCTTGTATGAATTACAGTGCCTGGGAAGGACAAGTAAGTGATAGGGCCAATGGCCCCCCTCTTCTTAAAATGATGGGGCCATTTTAAAAGTTATGGGGCCGAATGAGAATACAATGGGCCATTTTCAAAAATTGTCATATTATGAACTTATTCTGTTAATGCTATGATTATGCACATCTCTGTTTCTCAGAGAATAAAATTAATGCAAATAAAATAAAACAAAAAAATTATTGGATTGCTTTATTGACATATCATAACAATATGATACTACTGAGCAGAGATGATACGCTTTTTTAAAGAATTCCATCTTTTCAAAACATCTTCATAATTGATAGTTTCTTGCTTGTTTAATCGAACTCTTAGGAGTCGGTCGGAAATTTTGGGTGCCAAGGAATTTCTCTGCTTGGTAAGAATAATGTTTTGCTGGGAGAACACTCGTTCACAACTTGCAGTGTGCAGGGGTAAAGTGAGTGCAATCTGTGCTAGCTTGATCAGTTCATTCAATTCTTCTTTATGGTGTTTTGTGAGTAGTTCCCATAATTCTTGCATCTGGTCTGTTGGGTATCTTGCAGACTTGACAATCTGCTTGGCCAACATCCACTGATTTCTAACTTTCTCTGCACATAATACCGGCTGTGAGATGGCAGATTTGTGACACTGCAATTTAAATAGAGGTAAGTATATTTATATGAACATATTTTTTTTTTCCACTGATTTGAAATTATCTTTTTATTGACAAATAAAATTATTTTGAAGAATGAAATAGTTACTTTTGAAGTTCCGTAGTAGTCAAGAAGTTCATTTATTTCTTCAATACCATATGTCTCCACATCACTGAAATTAATGGCTCGCATGGACAGGACATAGAAGGCATCCATCAGGGACTTCTGTGGAAATCTGAAGTCAAAGATATTTTTTTCAAATAATTTGTATTGTTTAATAACAATAACATTAATCAATTAATGTAGGTTCTCTTAAAACTAACTTATCTGTCTAGTCTATTGTTGATGTACAGAATGAAGAAAAAAATATTTCTATTACAGTAGTGTGTACCAGTATGTAATTGTCTATGACTGGAGTGGAATAACCAAATAAATTACCTTTTCCTAATATTTGAGACCAAACTATTTATAAATTGGCTCTTAAGTGACTGGAAATTCGCACCAGGAACTTTGTGAATTCTGTGTCCTTTGAATTCAGGATGGTCATCAACTTCTGTAATATCTGAAGCAAACTGCTCAACAAATGTAGTGTGGAAAGTTTTTCCTTCTTTGAAAGCCTCCAGCTCACTCAGACAGGAGTCAACTGAAATCTAATTTTAAAACGTCTCGTAAAAAAGTGGATTTATAAATAAAATTATACAGAATTACAATTTGTGCTTTTTTGTAATATGTATTGTAAATTAAAATGCACAATATTTTATTATGTACCTTAGCACGAGCAATATCTAAGTCATCCTTTTGAAAGGTTAGACACAATCTCATTACAATTGGAAGAACATCCATCATTAGATAGGTGATATAGATGAATTGCGTTGTGGCCATTTGCTTTAGGAGTCCTTTGGCTTTAGGGTCTTTCTTGGCTTCTCGGTTGTGCAAGTAAGTTAAAAGAGGATCAAGAGTTTTGTAAATGGTTTCTAATCCATCGTAGAATGAGAGCCAGCGCACAGCATGAATTTCTTTATACTTCAGCATGGGATGATCCAAAAGAGCTTGAACTTTGTGAACTTCCTTCTCCCTATCTGCTGAGACTTTAAAATAATAGAATAATTTTGTCATAAACTCTTGGTATCTTTTCAGAGCAGGGATTCCTTCTGCTGCTTGTGCAGTGCAAAGTGCTAATCTATGTGCCATGCAATGAATGTTTAAAATGTGAGGATTCAATTCTTTCAGTCTTCCACTTACACCTTTATCTAACCCCGTCATGACTGATGCACCATCTGATCCGAAACCAAGGACCTTTGATATCGATATGTGTCGTAAATTCAACTCCTTGATTATCTCTGAAGTCAATCCCTCCCCTGTCCCACTCTCATACTCAATGTCTCTCAGAAATACAGTTTGTGCTCTAGAATTTTCTGGGTTAATTATCCTAGCTGTCATTGTCATTCTTTTCTTGTTACAAATGTCTGTACTTTCATCTGCATATATTGTTACAAATGGTGACTTCTGTAGGTTTTCAGTTGTTTTCTCTTCTATCACATCACTAATTGCATGTAGAAATTCATTAGCTGAATAGTACGACTGATAATCAATTCGATTTCCAACTTGTAAAAAATTCAGATTTGGTGTGCCTATATCTTTAAGAAAATCCATCATACTTTCGAATTTTGACAGTGGTAAATTCTCAATGGCAAGCCAATGTACAGTCTTTATAGCCTTTATTAAAGCTGAATCGTGGTCTGTCATCATTTTAGCTACAGCTACGTTCATCTCTTTACTAAGTGACTGTGCTTGTATACTATCCCTGTGATCTTGAGAATTTTCATGTCTATTTAATGACGAAGTTTTAAATGTACCACAACCCTGCGTAAATATATTGTCTTTACCCCTTTCTTTACATATAGTGCAAAACATTTTTTCCGATTCGTAAATCATCCAGGGCCACAATTTAAGCCACGATGATTGAAATTTTCTTTTTTGTTTATCAGCGCTTTTACTGTAACTGGTCTCGTCATTGTTCATTTCTGCATCAGCATTTCTTACATTTGCTGTATCTCCTTCCTCTGGACTCGATTCTATTTCTGAACTTAAGCCGGTTGGAAACTGCATGGAGGTTAGTGTCTTTTGACCACGTGGAAGTGAAAACTTCATTTTCTTTGCCGGCGGCATGTCAGTATTTAAAAATGGCGTTCCGATTCTATCATTCCGTACTCATCGGACAATTCCATCTAACTTTGATGAAGATTACCGATAACGTCGATCTCGATAAAATCACGTGGTAGAAATAATGCGTGTGCGCATTTTACATTATTTTTGGGGATGCGCCGCATGGCGCAGCGCACCATCATTACAATGCGCCATTTTTCGGCAGTATGCGCATATGGCGCGTGGCGCAGCCCCTTCCCAGGCCCTGGAATTAATTCGAAGGGCTGGTTAGCAAACACCATTCATCTTTAAATATTCTAATACAGTAACTGAACATGTGTTTTTCATACAAATTATAGGCCATTATTTTCAAACTGATTTCTTTTATTTGTCTATTTACCAGTTTGTGAAGAGGTATGACTTACTCCTTCATGGCATCTGATTCTATCTCTGATTTTCCATAGGTCCGTGTTTGTATGCTGTCAGTTTGTTTAGTTTAATAAAACTTCTAAGCATGAACAGTTAACTTTAAACATTTCATTTAGAATATAATAAATATACCATCACCTGAATGTAGTGTTTATTTTTTTTTTCAAATGAGCATTCTGTGTAAAGTTAATTTCTAAACTGGTGTAACCTACTCACAGATAAGTTGAAAATAAAAGGGTATCAATAATCTTAAACTAGTTATCTAACATTAAACAAATTCTATGTCGTTTATAGTAACTTTTTTCCAAATATGCTGTTTCGGTCGAATCTTGGCAGACGGCTCTAAAGCATGTTGTTTATACAATATTTTTATACTTTTTACAGATTAATCCGTCAACCCTCTCATTACAAAGAATCCTTGGTCAGTGTTGACACGTTGTCATGGGATGATTACTCTTTCATTGCACCCGATCAAACCTTGCAAAACTCTAATCTGTCTAGGATTATAAAGTACGGTTTCAATACAAATCTTGCCCTGTATTTTTCTAAAAATTTATGTGATTCAAGAAACTAAAATTTATTCTCTCTGAATTATTTAAATTTCATGCAGCAAAAACATAAAAACCGTTTTCCTAATATGACCTCCTATATTCTAGTATGTCATAATATGTCATTAATATGTGCATTTTGCCGTATTTTTTTTTCAAAGTTGCAGAAGACATCCATTTTTAAATGGAATTTTCTTATATAAAATATATAGCGCATGCATATCCCACAAAAATTTGGAGATATGTGAATTTTTCAAAGCAAATAACATAATATCCAAAGATTAAAGTGAGCGAAGGTGGCAGACACTATTCTCTACAGGAAAATAAACACAGAAATGAGTGATTTTTAGGATTTTTTTTGCATAAAATTTAGCAATGCACCAAATTAAAGAAGTCATGATAATTTTTACAGAACGGTCCTCCTTTTTACCACATTATTGAATGATTTATCTTATTCATCTACTCAACTCATTTTAGAACATAAAATTTTTAAGGCACACAAAAGCCCGAACCGTACCTTCTTCCCAACTAATTCTTCATACATAAACGAACCTTTTTAATAAAGATTGATATGTATGTATCTTAGCGATTTTTTTTTAGTTTCCATTTGCTTTTATATACTAATCCTTATTCCAATTTATGTCTGATGATTTGCAAGATTACCACAATGACCAAGAGAAGTTTTATCATTTCATTCCAATAATATCTTAATAGACATCTTCCATTTCAGCAAAATAACGTTAAAAATGTATGTCGATAAAAAAATTGAATTTATGTATTTGTACCAAACTTTATAGATAACCATTTGGTTTATTAAGAAAAGGGGGATCCGAAAGTCCTATGAAGTGACAATTATGTTAAAAATAAAGCATTTACTGCTAGAGGGGTCTTTCTCATCATCTGAAGTAAAGAAAACTAGAATTATAAGAATATAATTTGATATACAATTGTTTTTACAGGAAGATTGTGTCACGGTTTTGCCAAAGATCAAGATATCCAGAAAATTTTACAATACCTCAAAAACTATGTGAGGCATAAACAATGGCAATGTCCATTCTGATGTCGATACGATATATCCTGGTAAGTTTCAGATAAAAGATACCACAGAGTCTGATACATATGCTTTATACATGTACTTGGATATTTTACTTGAAAAAGACATTAATGGTAATCTAACAACCAAGCTCTATGATAAACGTGATGACTAACTTTTCTATCGTCAACTTCCCTTACTTATGCAGCAATATATCTTCAACGCCTGTATACGGTGTCTCAGTTGATTCGATACACAAGAGCATGCTATACGTATAGACAATTTTTAAAACGAGGTAGTTATTTACAAACAAGTTGATGAAACAAGAATATTAGCAGTCTCGTTAAAAGTAACAATTTCCTAAATTTTATGGTTTGATACAACTTTTTTTTTTCAACAAATACAATTTATCATTGAGACAAATGCTGATAGGCGTTTTCATACTAATTATTAGTCTATTATTTATACACTGAATTGACGACGATATATCCCGTTATATCCCGAGCACACGGCGGGTGTGACCGGTCGGCAGGGGATGCTCTTCCTCCATGGCACATGATCCCACCTCTGATGTTTTGGAGGTCCGTGTTTGCTCTGTTCAAAAAATGATTTTTACAATAGCTTCAAAACTATGTGAGGCATAAAGTTAAAACTTTTACAGTTTATAAACGTAACGTTGATTAACAGATGGAATGTATCACTGGGAAACAAAAATCTAAAAAAAAAAAATGAGAAAAATATTTGTTATCAAGTGATACCGTTGTATATTTGCAAAACGCACCTGCTTAATTCTTTACCTTTAGTAAAAATCACCATTGCAGAAATAAGATATGTTTCAGGAAGTTTTTGTTAACGGTTTTGCCAAAGGTCAAAATGTCCAAAAAATTATTTTTACAATAGCGTCAAAACTATGTGAGGCATAAAGTTAAAACTTTTACAGTACGTTTTGAAACATATCATTGATTAACAGATGGAAAATATCACTAGAAAACAATTTTTAAAAGAAAAAAACTGTTATCAATTTTAGTGATACCTTTACATTTTAAAAAATGCAACTGCTTAATTCTGTACTTTTAGTGAAATCATTATAATGATTATTGCAAAAATATTATATATTTATCAATGAAGGGCAATTTGGAAGTGAACAGTCTCTGAAAGGTTGTTATTGAAAGCATAGCATATAAAAGGACAAGACCTTTTTAAAATCTGTCATTTGCAATGTAAAATAAAGAGGGAAAACAACTTTCCAGAGGATACCAAAAATCATCTTGCCCTATTGATAAACATATATTGTTTCTACAATGATGGCTTTTACTTTTTTAAAGTACGGAATTAATCAAGTATATTTTTTAAATTGTCTGCATTTTAAAAGAATTTTTGTGAAACAATTCAGTCAGCATTTGACTTAGTAGGATTTAAGCTGTTAACAGTTCATTAATTAATGCAGCCATGGCCTATTCCGCCAACGAGCAAGTAAAATCATATTGCGTGGATTTGTGTACTTGTTTAAGTTGTTTGTCTTTATTAAATTTTGAAAGTAAAATTTGGTGTTTGGCTTCTCTGATAATAATAAATTGTATATGCTGACAAGGTCAGTGTATCGACTATTAAACTTACGAAATGATTACTTTAAACGCGACTTCTGATATTCTTGTTCAACATCTTGTTTGTAATTAAATTACCTCTACCTAAAAAAGAGAAATAAACTAAAAAGAGATATAAACACCTTATGCAGGTGATACAGGTGTAATGCTGCATAAAAGAAAAGGAAGTTGACGATGGAAAAGTTAAAAGTCATCACGTTTATCATAGAGCTTGGTTGTTAGATTACCATTAACGTCTTTTATATATATCCAGGTATGAAACAGATGTGTCAGACTCTGTGGTATCTTTTATTTTAAGCTCACCAGGATATATTGTATTAACACCCTTACTTATGCAGCAATATATCTTCATCAACTGCATCTTGTTTTATATCTCTCAGTTAATTCAATACGGAAGAGCATGCTCTGCGTATGTACAATTTCTAAAACGAGGTAAATAATCGATAAACAAGTTGATGAGACAAGAATATCAGCAGTGCCGTTTAAAGTCACAATTTCGTAAGTTCTGCAGTCGATACAATGACTTGTCAGAAAATACAATTTATTATTATTAAGCCAAATGCTAGCTGACTGACTACTTTCATATATACTGATTGTTAGGCCATTATTTATACACTGAGTTGTTCATGGACTTTTACCGTTATTTCCCGATCAAAACAAGGAGCAAGCGGCGGGTGTGACCGGTCGGCAGTGGATTCTCACTCCTCCTTGGCAGATGATCCAATCTCTAATGTTTTGGATGTCCTTGTTTGCTTTGCTCCTATTTTGTAATGTTAAATGTACTTTTGAGCTCGAATACAGTCTGTTATCTTCTATTTCATTTTAATTGCATAATCGATACAATGACCTTGTCAGCAAATATAATTTATCATTAAGCCAAATGCTGAACGACGTTCTTCATATTGATTGTTATGCCCTTATTTACTGTAAATCACTTTTTATTCACGAGAACTTTATTTTCGCGTAATAACGCGAGAACGTGTGCTCGCGAAAATTAAATTCTCGCGTATAATAGTATTCCTTAAGATTATATAGAGCAATAACCACAATTCGTGAAAATTTTGTCTCGTTGATCAAGAGTCAATGACTATCTCGCAAAAATAAGGTGTTGCGAAAATTTAGTGATCTATAGTATACTCTGGGTTGTCCACACAGATTTTCGGGAGAGGAGGGGTTCCGATCCTAATAGGGAGCATATGGCGAATCTGACCGATTAGCAGGGGGTTCTCAATTCTCTATGGCACCTGTTCCCACCTCTAATGTTATAGAGGTCCCTGTTTGCTTAACTCTTGATTTGTATTGTTTGAATGGACTTCAAACATGACTACTGTTCGTTATCTCCATGTTTCGCTCTTTAACTACGTACTTGACTTCAAAAGATTTCATAAATACATTAAATCACAATCGAGACTGTGAAATACACTATAAATTTACGTATCATTGACAATACAAGATAAAAGTTAATTTGTCAATACATATATAATATGTTTAATACTCTAAGTCTGGATACTGCATAATATTTGGTCATCCAAGCCACTCAATAACTTGTCAGCTAGTTCAGATGGCTGGCTACACGTTACATCTTTTGCTGTCTTAGTCCACTTTGGCCATGTAGTTGAAATCCAAACCAGATACTTCTTCAGAGACACTGAACTACAGTCACACATGATGGGGTTGTTTCTAAGATCAACTATAACATCGTTCTCCAAGAACTCCTGTACTAGGTTTTCACTGACGCTTGAGATATTATTGTTTCTCAAGTCGATATACAACGGAGTGGTACTCAATGAAGAATTTAACGCAGAAAATGAAATTTCTTCCACATTGTTATTAGATAAATCCAGAATTTCCAATGATGGATAATAATAACGAATTGTTTTTGATGTACTTGGTACTTCAAGGAGACTGTTGCTAGAAAAATTGTAGACTCTCAGATTTGGCATTTTGTACAGGGTCTGAGAATGGGGATCATTATGCATTCCTGAATTTGGATTAATGAACGAGCGCTCATAATAGGTCATATTTTCATATATGCAATTTTCCTCTGCTTTTAACAAGCTCTGTGCAAAGGTTTCTCCACTCACACCGGCGTCTTGCAAAACTTCTGACAAAAGTGTTTTGTTGTACTCTGAAAAAACGAAAGAAACGTTACGCATTATTTCACTTTTTAATGATAATTGTTCATCACAGTTTCTTGCTGAGAGATTTTCGATTTGATTTTTAACATATTCGTACGAGTTAATTTTGATAACACAGTCCTCTAAAGTAACGTCTGTCGTCAACTCAACGCTTAGACCTGAATCATGGAATTTATAATCTTCTACCAACAAACATCCCCGGATGTTGAATTTCGCGACGTAACTTCCTGCCATCCGTCTCGGAATGATAAGAGAACCGTCACTGCCACATTCAATGTCTAATATGACTTCTTTAGGATTTTTCAAAAAAGAATTTAACCATCGACGAAATTCAAAGAAATCCCATTCTTTGGTGACATTAAATGAACACGTAAAGGTTTCCTTGGATACATCTTGAAAACTGCAATTTTGCTCATAGTCGGACGCAACCGAATATCTGAAAACTAAAATAAATATTGTTAGAATATGCAATACCAAAACACTCATTTTTTAGAAAGTCTTAATAAAAAGTAATAAAAGTTTGAGAATTTTGGTGATTTATATACATATATATGTAATTTTGCACTTAAATTTACACTTCGTTGCCTTCCTGTTTTTGTGTGGTCTTATAGATACGTATAAACCGCAGGTACCAGGTATCAGTTGTCGCTAATTAGAAATCATGTACTTAAAAGTTCTGATTGCCCTGCAAGTTATTCAGAATCAAGTACTGTAGTACGTTTGACTACCAATACGATACAGACAAAAAGCGCTTGTCAAAACATTCAATGTAGTAAGAAGCTAGATATGTACATGTAATTGAAAATTTTAATTTATTGACGGCCGATTGTGATACCAGTGACCAAAGAAAATAGCTTTTTCGGCAATTTTGCAATGGATAAGTAAAAAGGCGGGGAGCAGAGAAAACACGGACCGTTAAAACATCAAAGGTGGGGTCAGATGCCATCGGAGAGTAAGCATCCCATTTCGACTGGTGCTTTCTGTCATGATCAGGCAAACTGAAAAATTTGAAAACAACTGAGTGTGTTAATAGTGGTAGAAGGATGTGGAGATAACGAACAATATTCAATCTAAAAGTCCATAAAACAATACAAAATAGGAGCAGAGCAAACACGGACCTCCTAAACATCAGAGGTGGGATCAGGTGCCATCAGGTCTAACGATTGGTATGAAAACGTCAGTCATCATTCAACCAAATGATAGATTTATTTGATGACAAAAACTTTGCTTCGACCATAACACTAGTAAAATTACTTTGAAGAAAACGGTTGATATCCTTGTTTGTATAAACTTATTTATTAATAGCTTGCCTTGTTTTCAGAAATTATTTGTTCGAAGCCCTATCTTGAGAGCCATTCTTTTACTCTAGCCAGACTTCAACATCAGAGCTGTATATTCCTACCAATTTCTTTTTTAAGTTACTGTCAGATTTTAGTCCGAGAGATATTTTTACATTCCTCTCACGTACTGGCTAGGTATCTGTAGTATAAAAGTTATTTTAATGTGTCAGTTGTCCTGGATTACCACAGAGCTATTATACTAAAAAATTGGTAGAAAAGAGGGAAAAAGTGTAGTCGTCATACTTCGGAAAGACAAAATTTATTTTTAATTTAAAAAACCACTTTACAGGAGTGTATAAGAAGTTTTCATAAAGTCTGGTATGAATGTTTTCATCATTTTCATGGAAAGTTTACATTGAAATTTAAAATAATCAAAAGAGAGCATTCCTTTCATTTGTGCTTTTTACGTCACAATTTCATAATATTGGTCGAGCCAGACGCAGAATGAAATATAAACTTAATGTCTGTCTACGTACGCTGTTACCACCAGGAAAATCAGCTTGCTCCAGTTAATAAATGCATTCATAATGTACTAATGCTGTCAATCATGTTAAAGGGTCAGGTTATGAGATATAGAAGACATAATAAATGAAATGCGTTAATTCATTTTAAGGCAAACATTCAGACAAATTTCTAGGTTCTTTGTGTTTATTATGATAAAGAAAGTCTTGTTCTCTGACTAGTAGTTGATCAAACTTTTACCACTTAACTTCCCGTTCATATTGTAAGAGTGTGTGCGTGTTTCTTATTTCACCAAGAAGGATTTTCATGCCCCCGTAATCTAAGATTTGGGGTATATATTTTTTGTCGTGTCCTTCCGTCTGTTTGTCGATCTGCAAAATCATTAACCTTGACCATAACTTTTGACTTAGTGGAGCTAATGACTTTCATATTTCAAAAGTGTATTCCTTGTGACAAGACCTTTCTTTGGGTAACACCAAATTTGAACTTGACTTTGGAGTTTGACACACTTTTACATAAAAATTATAAACTTTTACTTTGGCCATAACTTTTGAAGGGTATAGGTTAGGACTTTCGTATTTCACATATGTATTCTATATGACAAGACCTTTCATAGGATACCAGCAAATTTGACCTTTTGACCTTGGAGATTTACTTACTTATAAAAAAAAAATTAACCTCGGCCATAACTTTTGGAACGATAAGGACGATAAGGACTGGGGCTTTCATACTTCACATGTAGAACTTTGACCTTGGAGTTTGACTAATTTTTAAAAACAAACCTTGACCATAACTTTTGAAGGGTTAGGGCTAGGGCTTTTATATTTCACATATGCTATCCTTGCGAGAATACCTTTCATTGGATACCAAGAACTTTGCCCCTTTGCCATTTACCTTGCAGTTTGACCTACTTTTTAAAAACTTTAACATTGGCCATTACTTTTGAACGGTTAGGGCTATGGCTTTCATACTTCACAAATGTAATCCTAGTGTCAAGACCTTTCTATAAAGACCAACAACTTTGACCTTAACCATGGAGTTTGAACTACCAAATACTTATCCAAAACTTTTAAACAAGTTGTGCGAGGGCTTTCATATTTCTTCACAATTTTATTTCCTGTGGGTACATACTAACATATTTAATTTGCGTTGAAGAAAAGTTTAATCTTTGCTATGTTGCCATACGGGGGCATGTGTTTCACAAACAAATCTTGTTTAAAGTCTCTTTTTGTCTTTTAAATGAAAAAGGTACACATATAGTTCGCCGAAATTTGATGTGGTATCTAAAATATATTAATCATCGCTAAGATACTGGCCTATTGGATACCCAAACCTGCTATAAAAATAAGGGAGACATTAATTTATTATCTTTACTTATGAATATCCATTCCGTTCCCTTGGTATTAGAAACAAAAATTAGCACATATAAAAATTATTAAGAGAACAATGCGTACGGGGCTCTTGCATTTGATGTCTGTACATCATGTTCATCTTTCGACGTATATCTCTGTTAGTGTTAAGTTTACAGAGAGCTTTAAGGGAGTGGACAGACAAACGGACGTGATTCAAAAGTGAGATCAAAAAAGCTCACTTGAGCTTAATTAAAGATATTGTAAATAGACAAGTCTCCTAAGCAAGAACGTATGGTTACAGAAAGTGAATCTTTAATCCAGATTAGGTCTTTAAGGTTGTTAAAGAAAACATGCTGGTTTGTCAAAACAGTAAGGCTAGTGAACTCCACATAAAATATACCACAGAGTCGGAAAAACTGCCTCATGTTTAGGTATTTTACCATAAAGAGATGTTATTGAGAACCTAACAGCAAACTTTTATAATAAACGTCTACAGACGTAACGTCATCTTTCATATCATCAGCTTCCAGTTCCAGGGTTGTGTCTCCCAGTTGAAATAATATGCAAAAATATTCACTACATTCGAGCAATTTCTAAAACGAGGCAAGTTATGACAAATAAATTGATTCATTTAACGTGAATATAAACAGTCATGTTTACTCATCATTTCTTAAGTTCTATGACAGATACAATGACCTTGTTAGCAAATACAATCTATTATAAGGTCGAATGCTGACTGGCGTTTTTTATACTAATTTAAGGTCATTATGTCGAGGGATTTTTTTTATTTTCCCCCTGAAATCATGACAAGGAGCAAAAGCATACGACAGTTATATATCCATGGCACCTGATCCCACCTCTGTTTTTAGCGATCTGTGTTTACTCTGCTTCAGATCCGAGTTATTTCAATGAACTTTTGAGCTTTATTTCTGTTATTTTATCACCATATTTGAGTTGATAATATTATAGCTTTGCAATTCATATTCAAAACTAATCACCTCCTTACATGTTAGGCCGCCACAGTGGCTCAATCCTTAGAAATTTGAATCACAGTCCTACACACGATGTAAGGCATGCCTAAACCTAAGTAAATGCATTCCTCTACATATCTGTAATTGCCCTTTGACATCCTTGGAGCCAAGCTTTATATTGATTTATATTTCAGACAAAATCGGTGTTGTGTTTTTTTTTCAGTTTTAAAGAGAATAACAAACTGTGGAAAAATACAATTCTGGATAATGAGGAAGAAATTAATATGATCATTGTCTTTAATTAATTCAACATGTATTGCACACAAATATAGAACATTGTATATAGAAGTAACTCAGAATTTTAACAGTGTTCTTGTATCAATCTAGGCTTGTTTCCAAATTTAACAGCAATTACATAACATCTTTCATGAATGCAAGAAATATTAAACAGTTATAATTATTAGTAAAAATTCTATTGAACTGTAGATGAAAAGGTTGATTGAATTCAAATGATATGTACCAGAAGAAACTTAACGTCCAATTTTTTTAAACATTTTTTTTTTAATTAAAGAACAGTTATTACTGTATCCTATCAAATTATGTCAGATATTGATTTTGTTTTGGAGTCTTATGTACAAATCATTTTTAATTTAATTCATTTCAAACATTTCAGCAAATAACTTAGGTAATCAATTAATGATAGCATCAAATGAAATATTCAGTATGGCACTTTCAGAAATTCCAAACAATAACAATGAACTTCTGATGCCAATATATGAGGGCTGATCAAAAAGTTCGCGAACTAATTGAATAACTTCCAAAAAAGACAATATTTGGTTTCAGTATTAATTATATTTTAAATTAGTCCTCTCCAATTTAAATGCACATCTGTTATCGTTCTGCTCATGTGCAAATCACGTGATATAGCCGGTCACGTGACCCCCTCGGTAGCATTCTGTCACAAAAGCTGAAAGATTTTTCTGAGTTTTATATTTCTTTCCATGTAAGTTAATTTTTATAACAAAAACAGTTAATTTTTCAAAAATGATCAATTCTCTGCAGCAGAATGGGTGGATAAGAATAGCCTTTCCAAAAATAAGCCTGGCCACCATCATAACTCAAATCTTCTGCCTTGGGAGAGACGTTTATTCAAGGCGGATAGAGAATGGGTGCCTCCTTTTTATTATATCTAATATGTTTAAAATCTAAAGTAAACAATATTTCAGGTATTTAATAATAATTATATTTTTGTTGAAATATTCAGCTATTTTTCAAAGTGTAAATTGGAGGTCTTTGATAGCTTATTGCTTACTTAAAAACACATATCTTTTCAAACTTGCTTTCACTGGGCAAAATAAGTATCATTTTTAACCACCTGCCTTCCCTCACTAAAAAGATCAATTTAATCATTGATGGAATTTATAAGAAGCCATTTGTCTTATTAAACTATGTGCAAATTATTATACGCTACTTCAAAGGAATTTCTAAGATATACCATAAATTTTACAGTCGTTTGTTGAACAATTACTACTGAGACAACCATTTTTCGTCACAAGTGACCTGCATAGTAACGTCATTTTCACATTGTGACGTCACAAAAAAGGAGTAAAGCTTTATTCAGCATATGCTATTTATAGAACTTAATTATGGGTACATGTGTACCAATTTTTTTTCTAATCTGAATTGTGGCTTTGTAGATACAGAGATAGTTTGCAAACTTTTTGATCACCCCTTGTACACAATGAGATTTTTTTAACAGATTTTGAATACACGATTCCACAGTTGGTCCTTTTCTTTGTCCCCCTTATTATTCTCCTATCACAGGCACATAGACAATCACAGACTTTAGGCACTAACTTCCGTCAGAAGTCTCTTCTGAACCTCTGCATTGTCGGGATTTAAGTTAATTAAGCGATTACTGGACTCCGCTAAGTCTGATATAGACACTCTGCCGTGCTGTTTTATGAATTTGGCCACAGATTCCAGTTCCTCCACTGTTATAAATATGAATTTTCCTCTATCGTCCATGACCCCGGTCAAACGACCTTCAGTCTGTAGCTCTTTAACTCGATCGGCAGCATCCTACAGAGAATATGGCTATGTTTATATTTTTTTTTTACAGTTTTTCCTCTTTTTGTTTTAGCAAAAGTTGTACTTTGGATGTGCAATTACAATGTCTCAAAAGATATTCATGAGGAAACAAAATTTCTCAAAAATATTTTAAATATCTTGGCCACAACAGTGTTCAATTCAACATAAGTAATCAGCATTTTAATTCTTTTAACGCAGACAAAGTGAATTCATTTTCCAATTAATTAAGAATCACCATCAGAGATGTCCAAAAATCATCATTCACTGAGCATCATAATCTTAACTACATTTCCATATTTCTATGAAATGATGACATTACCTGGGTCTTGATTTTAAAATGGGCAGCTAGATCTTCAAGCATAATAACCTTCATTTCCTGAAGAAAAAAAATGTACACTTAAAATTAACGATGAAATGAAACGTGTTATGCAATGTCATAGTCTACTCCACATTTTTTTTGTATATACATGAAAATATTCCAGAAACAAATATGTTGATTTTTACTTTACACTATGATTTCAAAGGATGAGGTGACTTGCGGCCCCTCGTATACTGACAAAAAATTAAATGTCTAAATTTTACTCAAATTTTTGTATGTATCTAATCACTGATATGTGTACCTTTATAGAATACTATTTTTAACAAAAATAGAAACATGATTTGGAAGATATAGATCTTTTATTGAGGTAGGGGTATCATGTTTACCTTAAATTCCCATTATATAACAACTCTTTGAAGCCCTTAAAATATGCGGGCGCAGATAGATATAATTTCTCCTTTGGCTGGTCACTGTATTTTATTGAATGTGAAAGGAGAAAATTTTACCTAACTGCGCTCACATGCTATTTTTTTAAAAATTGTAAAATCTAGTTAGCCTTTCCCATTAAAACAGATCGACGGAACTAGATTTTCTGACTTAAGATTGAATTCATATGCTAATCGAGGCACAGGCGATATTTTCTAACTGACCTATCAGCTAAATGAAATTCGTTACGAGTGAGTACCACAAAAATACTATGGAAACATGCTTGGAATTTTACTGCTTTCCGATATTTTGTATGCATTTGAGTCACAGATTAGACACAAATATACATATGTACCATTTCCGAGACCACAATAAAATTTATATACAGTTACAAACAATGGATAAAATATACATGATATGCATTAGTTTAAAGTTTTGTAGCGTGTTTGGTGAGGAATTCGCTAGGTCTACACGTATTCCCGGGTATCGGTGAATACAAGTTTCATGTGCATTTCTTGTCCTAAAAACCGTAAATGCTGAAAATCCATGCGTAGTATTAAGTGTAAACAGCATTGGCTGACCATTATAAAAGTTTGAAATGTAGAAAAGGATAACAGGTAAATTGACCTAAACCACGTGTCTGCGATAAGATGTAAACGTACTTAAACCAGCATGTTTTGTTGTTCTGTCATCGGATTGGACAATGACTAAGTGCGAAATAATAACAATAGCCATATAAGATCTTCTCGGTCATGCATCTCCCTCTATTGTACTAAGACCCGCCCATTCTCTTGCCATAAAAGGAAATATTCGCACAAACCTGGCCGAATTTAGCTGTGATAGGGTCTAAAAAATCAAAGATGATGCAGTATTCCTTATAATTAAAATATGTCTGAACTACTGAAACTATTCAAAAGGCGTCGTTTTTATTCATTCATGTTTGAAAACTACCAACATCGTTGTAGATTAAATATAATTCGTAGTGGAAAAAGGGGCCCCAGATAGCAGTTATGTCACATCATCCTTTCAAACTGTCTTTTTTATATTGATATGACATTAACAATTTTCATTGTTTATCTATTTTAGCTTGAATTTTCTTTTTATTTCATGAATATGAATGAATTCTGAGAGGAACTGCTTTTACTACACTGATTTCTGCAGGTGTCAGAAAAAATTTGTATATGAACTGTAAGACAACTGGCCAGGGTGATTCTAGTTTTAAAATTCTCTCTACTGTTGCTTCCTTATTTTTCATGAGTACTTATTACCACAAAATTGCTCTTTAATGCCAAATTGTGAAAATATTAATTCCCCAGTTGATGATTGATCAAGAGATTTTTCATTTGATTTCAGTGCCATAAAATAAAAGAAAGTAATTTTATTTAGTGAGTGAAATTATGCAACAATTAATTCCTCAGATATATTTAATAGAAATCTACAGTATTACTCAAACCACATGTACTTCATCTTGTTAGAAAATCATGATAGAAAAAAATTGAATTGGTACTTTGGTACACACAGTTTTTACTTACAAACACTTACCTTAATGTAGTCTATAAATTCTTGAAGAAGTGACTGTGACTGAAAAAGAAAACAGATGTGTTAGCATTATTAATCTTAAAGTTGTTAATTTCAGTCTTTTCCCTGTCCCTTAGCATCAATCTAGAGTTCAAGTGTTTAAAAATTAATTCAAAATATTACTGAAACTAGAGACAACACACATATATAGGAATAAATGCCTTGAAACATTAGTTTAAAAGGGGCAAAATAACCTAAAAGCAAATCTAGTGCAGTTACTCCTAGTTCTATAATTATACTTTTCCTCTATGAAATGCTTTATAAAGGAGATAACTCTTCCGTAATTAAGAAATAAACTTCTCTGTCCATTAATTAATAAATGCTTTGTAAAAGGAGGTAACTCTGTTACATTACAGTTAAGAAATCAAGTCCTCTGCATTAATACTCTTTAAAGGGAGGTAACTCAGTTAATTTTTTTCTTCTGAAATTAGCTCTGTAAAGGGAGGTAACTGAGTTACTTCTTGATCTATGAGTATAAGGGGAGATAACTCACAGTGAGGTCGGGTCCTATATCCTCCTCCCCCTCTTCCTCTACACTGAAGGCCTCCTTCATCTTCAGGTACTCCTCATGTTCTCTTCTCTCCTCCTCCTCTTTACGAATCCTCTCCTCCTCAGCCTGAGGAAAGCAAACATATCACAAAGATTATTTTTTACATGGCCATTTCTACCTACGTCTCATGTCAAATTGCTAAAAGAAAAAGTGTTTCTACCATTTTCAATTCTTTACAAACGAAATCTGTATTTACCCTGGCGGCCTCCTCGGCTTTTTCTATCTCCTCCTGCTTTTTCCGTTGCTTTTCTAGGAGTGCTTCACGCTCTTTTTTCTCTTTTCTTTCCTCCTCCTCTGCCTAGTAAATGAAAGAGTTTTTGTTCCAAGTAAAAAAGACATTTAAACCATTACCATTTTTTGTACTGCTCTATCTTATCTAAGAAAAGATTGCCATGTGCTTAATTTACATACAGTAATCATGGTAATAACATGAATAAAGAGAAATTAAAATCTGAAAATAAATCATTCATAATAATTATTTAAATTTTCATAATAAGTGGATATCATAGAAAAGATGCCTGAATAACATTGAATTTTTATCAATTTCCTGAATATACACAATAAGGGAGGCTTTTTCTAATAATTAATCACTTTAATACCTGCCGTGATCATTTTTATTCTAATTAATTTAGATATTGTAAAATAGTAAGTGAACTCATCACTTGACTGTCATTTTTATTCTGTTAACACTATTTAAATCATAACCATCTGCTATTTTCAATCCTGTTGTTAAGAGTTTAAGATATTAACTAGACCCAGATTGAGTTAGTTTTGGAATATTTACCAATCGCTGCTGTTTTCTCTCCTCCTTGGCCTGCAGCTTCAGCATCTTCTTCTTTCCGATCTTTTTTTCTTCTCCCTCGAAATCCTCAAATGGATTAAATTCATCAGGGTCGTTGGGCAACTCATCCTCATCTGCATAATATGAAGACTGAGGAACAAATTCATCTTTAAATCCAATAAAATGTTTCCTTCATTGTCTAATGTTTTTCTAAGAATAAAATTTTGTGAAGTGCTTAGTCCTACTTGTTGGAAAAATGTTTTCTCTTCTTTGCATGTCTATGTAAATCATTATCCCTTGATTGGCAAAAGCAGTCACTAATCCGATGCTATAAATTTGGCCCAAATACTGTAAACCAACTTTTATTCGCGACGACTTTATTTCGCGATTTACTATGGGTGAACTAGTTGGCGACGATTAATTTTCGCGATCAAGCATTTTTGGATCTCTTATAAATAGACGCAGAGGCCAGACTTGTCCCCTCAATTGGCCTAAATAGTCACTTATCAGATGCAATGAATTACAGTAACTATTAGTATTACCAGACTCGTCCCCTCGATTGGCCATTCTGTTTCTTCTCCCCCTCCTTCTGACCCCCGCAGGGAGATTCTCATCTCTAGCCCTGGCTGCTGGCTGTCTCCCTCCATCTCTTTCTCCACGCTTTCCTAGAATTAAATTGATTGCATGATTGTTTTACGTCCCATTTGAGAATTTTTCACTCAAACAGAGATGTCAACATAAAATAGCTTCGAATATACACCTTTACTCAGGCACTGAGAAGTCTGCCTGCCATTTTAATTGATGTATATTGTGCATTGTTAGTTTAAAAAGTATTATAGAATTCATGTTTTTTCTTTTTGTTTAAATTAAAACAAAATTTATCTATATTAGATTTATAATATATAAATATATATTATTATAACAGTAACTTGATCCGAAGGGTCATATCACGTCGAGTTGACAGGCGCGGATCATCAGATCTAACAAGACGTGAAGCGTCGAGTTTGATCTGATGATCCATGCCTGTCAACTCAACGTGATACAGCTCTTCAGATCAGGTTACTGTTATAATGATAAATTTATTATATACCCCCTTATAACTAGCAAAATATAGTGAAATAAAACTTAAGAGATCAATTGTATAATTTTTATCCATAAAAAAAATAAAAACAATAGACTTTTTGACACGCAAGAAAAATAACGTCATGTTTCTGCATACTACGTCATCAGTTTCAGAGAGTGGTGATATGGATTCAGAAAACCACAGTGTCTGAAAGTTGGATCACGACGTCACATGATAACATAAAATCAATGGTAAAATTGAGTGATACACGTTATGCATATAATAAAAAGCCAGAGGAAATTAAATGTCAGATTTCAGAGTAAAGCAGACCTGCCAAGTGACCCGCATTCGGTGGGTCACACCCGCAAAATTGACCTCTCACCCCCCACTCATAATGACCCGCGGCGTATCATTGTTTTCACCCGCAAAATCGATCATCCCAATTTTTTGACCCAATATTAATTAAGCATGTTTGTCTCAACAAGAAAGATCTGAAAATTTATCTTAAAATTTCCGATTTGTGTTTTATAAATCAGGATATGAACATCTTGTTTATTCAATGCACACAGATTTGTATCTTTGTTTGCCGAGGTGTTAAAAAAACTGTTAATTAGCCACAGGAAATCACTTCACGCTTGATCGCAGACTGACACAGCTGTACAGGTAATATGCCTGGAGCATTTAGGGGATTATACGTAACCATTTGAAGGGGTATATGCATGGTGAACCACATAGATTTAGAGGTTAATTAAATATCATTTTATTAAAAACAGAAATTAATTAATTAAATACAATGATATGATAAACATTGGGATCGTTTTTTAAAAACGAAAGTAAAAAAAAACGAAACTACAAAGCATAACTGATAACAGCTGATTTTATCAGCTCTCGTATATTAAAATTATTGTTAAGTGTAGTGGTTAAAAGAAAATGATATTAATTAAGATAAAGCAAAAGAGTCTAAAGTGAAGTATATTGAATTTCTCCCCCCCTCCCAAAATGTAGTATTGTACGTTGTGTTTCTTTGTTAAATGGCTATGACAAGGGAATACCCACTTGTCAGTCACATCATGACTCTAACGATTTTAAGTTTTTGTCTGGGGTGTTAGGTACCCTTCATAATTTATTTTGTAGTATTTGATTCATTTAATTTTTTTGTGTGTGTTTTAAAATTAATAATAGGAAATTAGATGGCACATATTTCTTACCACCATCCCCTGCAGCAGCAATTTTTCAATATTAATCTTTCAATGTAATGTCTAATTACAATTTTCTGATTGTGTAATATGTTGAAAATTAATCATTGTAGAGATAACAAATGTTTCCCAGAAACTTTTTAAATTTTTAAAACTTTGCAAAAATTCTATTGAACTAAAAGTATCTGAATCTTACTATCAATCTGAAAGTGTTCTTATACAAGCAATTTTAAGTAATCTGTCCTAAGTAAAAATTAAGTCTGCAATAAAATATAACATATACATGCATGTGTTTGACTGTTTGCATTGATGCCTAAAAATTACGTGAGCATTTTGTTACTCAAGCCTCAACAAAAATGAGCGATGACCCAACATTTCAATTCTGAATGTTGGGTCATGACCCCCCACAGCATCAATTTTGGTTGGCAGGTCTGAGTAAAGGTTATGAAATTATCCATTAGAATTTCTTATCTCATGAATAACTATCAAATAATGAATACATACATAAAATAAACAATCATCCCAATAAATGCCCACACCCTTCATGATTCATCAATGGGTTTTTGAGACAATTTTCTAATCTTTTGACTTTTGACGTCTTGCCACTTTTGGGGTAATATTTAGTTCAATACGATTATTCATGTACCTTTACTGTTATCTTTGCAGAATATCGAGGCAAGTAACATGATTATGCCTACAATCGCCATCATAACTAAATACACCGTTGCTTGGTCAACAGCCATATTTTCTGTTCACAGATGTTTTTCTGTTTTTAAAGATTTCTTCAACACGAAACAAGACGGAAATACTACTACGAATGTAATAGTCAAATCGGAAAAGATGCCAGTAATTTTTCCGGAAAAATTATTAATCGGCAAACAACTTGTAGTGACAATTATTATTTCCAACATATAATATTTCGTTTTGGACAAGCATTCTTAGAGGTTGCGTTCTTAGGGAACAATAAATTTCAATTGACAAACTGAGTTGAATCCCCCCCCCCCCCTTTTTTTTTGGGGGGGGGGGGGGGGGGGGGGTTATTTACTATTTTTTGTGTTTTATAAATTGGGCTTTTGATTCCACTTTTTTTTTATTTCTTGATAGTAATAAAATTTAGAAATTAAAGATTTCAATTCATATTGTATTTCACTGATGTTACACAGTTTTTGAGCAATTTTTAACACTGTACATGTCAGTTAAAACACACAACTGAAAACATCATAAATTAGGGCAAACTGACCATGGTTAAGACAATTCTTGTTTTGCTTCCCTGCAATAACCTGATACTACTAATGTCAATTTGATTTATCCCATTGGATTTGACCTTGATATCATTTTTTTTAATTTATAAAGTTCTAAAGTTTACTTGTTTTTATATCATTTAAAACTTAATAATAATGCCACTTTTTAAAAAATATTTAATGCTGCTTATGCATTTAACCTCCCATCCCACCTCTCAATGAGAGGGCATAAGGATGATCTGTGTCAAGTTTGAAGAAATTGGTCTACAAAAGAAAAAAAGACAAAATTTTGGAAGACAAAATTGCAATTTATAATTTAAAAAAATCTAGGATCTTATATCCTGCTTTCGACAGATAGGCTAACTTCTGTATCTAACGAGTGTGTAGAAGTTGAAAATGAGGTATTTCATAACAGCTAACAGAGACAAAAGCAAAACCATTTTGAAAAAAGATGTGTTTGTAAAACACTATACCCCTAATGGTAACCCAATTCCGGGGCATAAAAATCCAAAGGCTTTTAAAATGAAATAATGTTTTAATCAACAATAAATTAATACATTGTATGTACATACAAAGTACCAAGTGTTCAAAAATTGACAAGCAAATATAATTTCAATGCCCAAAATGGCAAACATGCAACAATTTTTTCTACAGGTTTTGGCAACTTAAAACTTCAATACATGTGCAAAAGTTATAAAACAATTAAACACAATCCACCCTTTCACACCTTTTAAATAAGCTTGCATGTAGAATTCATTGAATTTTACATGAATGTTTTCAAATGTACAATGAGGTCAGTCATAAATGATATTTCTTTAAAAATGTTTCACAGAAACAAAATTGATCAACTTGAGAGAATACTTTAATTTGGAAAACCCCTGAGCACTCGCATTTTATTTGAACCTGCATGTGTACATATGTACATTTTATAACAATTCTTCTGTGTGATGTGTTTTTTTTTTTCCTTTTGAGTAAATGATTAACTATTATTTTTTCCATGAAATTTCAACATTCAATATTAGAAATATGGTATATATGAGTTTTTATAACTTTCAATATTAGAAATATGGTATATATAAGTTTTTTATAACTTGTTCAAAAGAGAATAATTAAACATAGAAATATCAAGTTGCGCAAATTAAAATTGTACATGTATAATAATATTACCAAACAAATTGTCAATTTTCACTCAATTTGATTTTCCAAATTAAAATTTCCACTGACTTTTATTCCATTTACAAATAATTAAAGCATGAATATGTTCATCAATACATTCATCACTAGACATTTGTAAGAACATGCACTAAACACATACATGTACATGTAAATGCATTTCTACATCAACATAGAAGTGATTTTGAATCCCTTCATTAATTTTTAACTCATTACACTCTTTCACCGTCCAAATTGTACGGGGCTTCCTATTTAAACTGAAGCTGAAGGAGAATGTATTGGGAAACTTTCTTCATGTTTTAAAATAATGTTTTACATATACATTGTTTTTCCGTCCCTCATTCACTGGATTTTGTTATCATTTACAACATCTTCCAGAAATGCAGTCTACCATCACATCACATCCATACCAGCAAAAAATACTCTTATTTTCAAAACAAACACATTCATAGAGCACAGAGACATTATAACTTGTCAAAATGTACATAAATTCATTTGTAAAACAGAGAAGAGACAAAAGAAACCATCAAGCATCGAGATCTTTCAAGCACCGCCCCATATTAACAGATTTGTCAAATCAGCCAATATCTTGCACATGTATAGTTTGAACAGGAATCTCATGAGTCACAACTCGGTGCTCCACAATTTGTCCGTTTCTTTGGTGACCGTACTCGAATTTGATTCTAAGTTCCCCGATCCTGGATTTGGGCAGAATGTCAGGAATCCACTCTATAATGAAGGGTGTTGGTTCCTTTTGATCTGCCGCTGTATTTCCTTGTAATGAAAATTAAATAAATGGTAAGCTATTTATTCAACAGATTGTTGTATTCCTACTGGATGTATTTTGTACAAAGCATGACTCATTGAAATTTTTACTCCATTCATTTAACACTCTAAAGGATTCTAAGTTTCTCGTTTCTTACCAACTTTGAGGTAGGTTTTAAGTTCAAAAGGTCGAATTGGCATTGGATTTTTGCCCTTGAATGGTTCATCTAAATTCTCAACTTGGACTTTTGGCACTTCATACAAATCATAAGTTCCATCTCTGTTTTCCACGAAATTACGAGTGATATCTAGTGGCATCTACAAAGACATTACATACATTTTAATTGCAGAACTACTGTAAAAGCACAAATAATAGTAGGGATTAAATTTCGATTATTTTGTTGTTGACAATTCTCAAAGAAATTAAATCCCACAAGAAATTTTTCATGATTATATATTGAATGAAATTACTCTCAAAACAATGAAATTAAATGCCCACAAACTACTTTTGATGATAAATCAACGAAATTTTATCCCCACAAAAATTTGTGCTTCTACAGTATACAATAAATGGTAAGAATGAGAAATTTAAAAAGTGATTATAAATTGGTACATTGGCTTTGAATTTACAACGTAATAAGCGTTCTATCGTATAAAACCGTCATCGTAATAGCGAGTCTCTACTGTAGCAGGCTTTGAAGCTGTAAACATTTACCTTTACAAATTCAGAACCTATCTGTAGCATGATTAGACATTGCTATTTTATGAGTTTTACAATAAGCCTGCCTTTATCAATCTCATTTTGTCTAACACACATGTAAAATGAGAGTGAGGGTGTGTGGGTGAGGTTACAAGGAAATCAATGTATGTCCCGTCATTCTCTTTTGGTTTTTGTGCAAATCTTCTAAACAGGTTTGGTTTGACAACATAGATTGGTCAGAAGAGTACTAAGGGTTTTTTAAAATTTATTCTCAGTTGTAATGACTTTCTTTAACAAGAGGCCCATGGGCCTTATAGGTCACCTGAGCATTATGCAACAACTTTCCAGTGATTAAATTTAATTCATCATAACAATACACTTAGCAATTGCTTAGTTTGTTTACTTAATACCCATACACAAGGTAGGGGAACAAAAAATGCATTTCAACTAATCAGTTATATTCAGCAATAATCAGTAGTGCCCCTACCACACATGAACCCCTTGACCCTTAGGCCTTGATATTTGATTAATACCAAGGAGCAGATTTCAAACCATTCATTCATTTTCAGTATATAAGTACAGCCCCCCCCCCCCAATGGTAACCCTGACCCTGGGGCCTTGAAATTCACAATTCTGGAAGATTAGGGCCCTTGTAGATCATAACTATATAGGTAGTTCATCTGCTTAATACCCTAGAGCAGAGAAGAAAATTTTAAAGATTAAATGAATTTTCACTATATAATCTATAGAGCCCCGCCCTAACACCAAAACATCTGACCCTGGGGCCATAAAATTCATAATTTTGGTAGAGGCACTCTTGCTCATCATAACTATGCACTTAGTTAGTTTATTTAATACCCAGGAGCAATGAAGAAGATTTTCAAAGAATTCCTGTATTTTTTCTATATAATCAATAGAGCCCCCCCCCCCCCTCCTAACACCAGAACCCCTGACCCTGGGGCCATAAAATTCACAATTTTGGTTGAGGCACTCTTGTTCATCGTAACTATGCACTTAGTTAGTTTATTTAATACCCAGGAGCAGAGAAGAAGATTTTCAAAGAATTCATGTATCTTCACTATATAATCAATAGAGCCCCCTCCCCCCTCTAATACCAGAACCCCTAATCCTGGGACCATAAAATTCACAATTTTCGTAGAGGCACTCTTGCTCACCATAACTAGGCACTTAGTTAGTTTATTTAATACCTAGGAGCAGAGAAGAAGATTTTCAAAGAATTCATGAATGTATTTTCACTATATAATCAATAGAGCCCCCCCCTAATACCAGAACCCTAATCCTGGGGCCATAAAATTCACAATTTTCGTAGAGGCACTCTTGCTCACCATAACTAGGCACTTAGTTAGTTTATTTAATACCTAGGAGCAGAGAAGAAGATTTTCAAAGAATTCATGAATGTATTTTCACTATATAATCAATAGAGCCCCCCCCCCCCCTAATACCAGAACCCTAATCCTGGGGCCATAAAATTCACAATTTTGGTAGAGGCACTCTTGCTCACCATAACTAGGCACTTAGTTAGTTTATTTAATACCCAGGAGCAGAGAAGAAGATTTTCAAAGAATTCAGGTATTTTCACTATATAATCAATAGAGCCCCGCCCTAACACCAAAACCCCTGACCCTGGGGCCATAAAATTCACAATTTTGGTAGAGGCACTCTTGCTCATCATAACTATGTACTTAGTTACTTTATTTAATACCTAGGAGCAGAGAAGAAGATTTTCAAAGAAATAATGCATTTTCACTACCTACTTATTTAGCCCCACCCTAGCACTAGAACCCCTGACACCAGGGCCATGAATTTCACAATTTTGGTAGAGGACTCATTGCTGATTACAATTATGCAAACAGTTTGACTGCTTGATGCCCAGGTGTAAAGAAGAAGATTTTTAAAGATTGCATTAATTTTAGTGGTTTTGGCCCCACCCCTCAGGCCCCTGGGGGGCAGGGATCATGAAATTCACAATTTTTGTTCCCCTTTACCCATAGATGCTTTGTGCCAAATTTGGTTGAAATTGGTTCAGTGGTTGCAGAGAAGAAGCAGAAAATGTTCAAATGTTAACGCACGACGCACAACGCACGACGCACGACGCACGACGACGGACGAAAACAGATAGCAATAGGTCATCTGAGTTTACTCAGGTGACCTAAAAATTTATTCTCAGTTATAATGACTTGTCAGAAAAAAGGGTTGGGTTGGGGCTTCACATCTTATGGATCGATGTACACATCTTGAATTGTTGATAATATGCTGTATATGGGTTGTTTTTAACCCCATTTTATTATGGTTCTATCCAACTCCCAAATATGCCCCATTTTCTTAATTTGTCAAAAACTTTTTTTTCTAAAAGAAATGAATCTATGGTGATTGAATTTCCCCAAATTCATATTGAATTTCACCAATTTGCAGCAAAGGCAAGTGTGAAAATAAAAGGATGGCAAAAAATTTTTGAAAGGTAAAATAATGTTGAAACATGCTTACAATGAAATACTTACAGTATAAAATTTTACTCCCTATAAGTCTTGAAATGTATAATTAACTGAATGAATATTCAGTTGAACTGACCAACATACATGTACAGCTTTCCAGCATCATGCATATGAAACCAACAGAAATTCATATGAACGTTTGACCTTGACCTAATAATAATTGGATCAAGGTCAAAAATTTTCATCACATAATCTCTCCATCTAAGTGTCTTCTGCATGTTACAAGTTTGAAGTCTAAATGTCAAAAGATTCTCAAGTTATGTTCAAAACATGTTTTTTTTCTCTATTTGACCTTGGGTCAAGGTCAAAGTCATTGTGCACTAGATCTTGTATATAATGTCTTCTTTCTATGTTACATGTTTGAAGTCCTAATATCAAAGGGTACTCAAGCTATGACTGAAACTCTATTTAGATGTGAAAATTTGACCTTAACCTAATAATATTGGATCAAGGTCATATAATATGATTACATAAACTTTCTCCAATGTGTCCTCTGCATGTTCCCAGTTTGAAGTCTAAATCTCAAAGATATCTCAAGTAGTGGTCAAATCATGTTTTTCTATATTTGACCTTGAAAAAAAGGGTCAAGGTCAAAGTTCTTGTGCACTGCATCATGTATTTAATGTCTCCCTTCTATGTTTTAAGTTTGAAGTCCTAATATCAAATGGTATTCAAGCTATGGCCTAAGCTCTATTTTGTTTTGAAAGTTTGACCTTCACCCTATAAACATAGGATCAAGGTCAAAAATTTTGATCACGTACATCCTTCTCCTATGTGTCTTCTGCATATTCCAAGTTTGAAGTCTAAAAGTCTAAGGTATCTAAAATTATGTTAAAATCATGTTTTTTCTCTATTTGACCTTGAACATAGAAAGGGGTCAAGGTCAAAGTTTAGGTGCACTACATCTTGTATTTAATGTCTTCTTTCTATATTTCAAGTTTGAAGTCCTAATATTAAAGGGTACTCAAGCTATTGCCAAAACTCTACTGTAATGTAAAAGTTTGACCTTGACCTTATATATAGATCAAGGTCAAAAATTTTGGTGACAGACACTCCGCCTCAAGGTCTTCTATATAAGTTCCAAGTATGAAGTCTTCAGGTCAAAGGGTATTCAAGTAACGGCCTGGACAAAATTTGGATGAAGAAGAAGAATAAGAAGAAGAAGAAGAAGAAGAAGAAGAATAAGAAAATCGACAAAAACAATATGTCTCCCCTTCGGAAGGGGAGACATAATGCTACAGTCTATACAGTATTGTCATTTCAATACCGCTGTCTATGAACTTACATCACTCGTATCAAAAATCTGCTTGACGTGCAGGATATTGGTGATGTGCCAGGTGTACTTAGTGAAGGTCCCCAGAGGTAGAGCGTCTTTACGTATAAAGCCTGTGGTGAAGTTGGGCAGTCTCTTTTTCTTACTGCCAGATGAGATTCTCTGTTGTAGACACTCGAAAAACACCTGAGGAGCATGAAAGACTAGCGGGTCTGGATTACCTGTAAAAAGAGGGCAGGATTTCAATACAAGGACTTAGATATTCAAGTGTCTTAAGACTCAATGCTGATTATAAAATTGAGAATAAAAAGTGATAAAAGCTTAATCTGATTCAGTTTTGTTCATTTTGTTTTGGTTTTATTCTTTATTTCCATTATGAATTGTCATTACACAAAAAACTAGAACTGTCCAATAGGGACAAATACCCCCCGCTGGGTTTTTCAGAGAAGGTGCCAATTCAAAAATACTTTATGGATCTAGATCTGTTCACAATTTATTTTAAAAAATTTGCAGTGAAATATAATTGCTCATCATGTTTCTTAATGAATGAAACGGAGGTGTAACCAAATGAAATATCAATACTAATACATTGTAATTCCATTGTAACATTTTTTTTTTATTTTTTTCATTTAATTTTTCTTCATTACTGCATTAAAAAAAATATATTGCAATTATGTGTTATGTCACTCTGCAAACTGATTGTTGAAAAAAAACCATTATACAAAATCAAATTAATCTTGATATATCAATTTGAAATGCATTTTGAAAATAAAGAACTCATAGTCATCCAGTAATGAAGTGTTTTGACAGACAATAAATTACAATTAAGAGAATAAGAGATTTGAGAGATCTTTAATTCTTGTGCCTTATTCCCTGAAGATTTGATAACACACACACACTTGATAAGAGATATGCCTAAACAACTTCCAACACCAAACTCATTAATTTATCTTTAACTGGATGCATGTCCAGTCATTATTCCCAAGAGACAAATGAAATTACATTATCTTCTGTGCAATGTAAAAAACTGTTTTTAACACTTGATGTTCATTTTTATTTTTTTTAAAGTTTTTATGAGTAATTTTAAGCTGTAGTTCACGTTTTTGTACAGATATTCTAGTTTCTATGTTTCAAACCTTATACATGAGCCCAAAATGAACAAGTCAATTAAAATTTTAAAAAAAACCTGTAAAATGCAAAAAATGAACATGTTTTTAATGAATGAAACGGAGGTGCAACCAAATGAAATATCAATACTAATACATTGTAATTCCATTGTAAAATTTTTTTTATTTTTTTCATTTAATTTTTCTTTATTACTGCATTAAAAAAATATATTGCAATTATGTGTTATGTCACTCTGCAAACTGATTGTTGAAAAAAAAACCATATGATTATACAAAATCAAATTAATCTTGATATATCAATTTGAAATGCATTTTGAAAATAAAGAACTGGTCATCCAGTAATGAAGTGTTTTGACAGACAATAAATTACAATTAAGAGAATAAGAGATTAGAGAGATCTTTAATTCTTGTGCCTTATTCCCTGAAGATTTGATAACACACACACACTTGATAAGAGATATGCCTTAACAACTTCCAACACCAAACTCATTAATTTATCTTTAACTGGATGCATGTCCAGTCATTATTCCCAAGAGACAAATGAAATTACATTATCTTCTGTGCAATGTAAAAACTGCTTTTAACACTTGATGTTTCTTTTTTTTTTAAGTTTTTATGAGTAGTTTTAAGCTGTAGTTCAGGTTTTTGTACAGATATTCTAGATTCTATGTCTCAAACCTTATACATGAGCCCAAAATGAACAAGTCAATTAAAATTTCAAAAAAACCTGTAAAATGCAGAAAAATGAACAAAAAGAGTTGAAAATTCCAGGTGCACAACTTCATATGGTGAATAATAATTGTACAAATTTTCAGATTAATCCTTGCAATAGTTTTTGAGAAACGGTCCAAACAAAACCCCAACATAAAAATGAAAAAACACCTGTAAAATTCAAAAAAATAATCCAATCAAGATGAAAAATATCAGGTGCACAACTTCATATGGTGAATAATATGTGTACAAATTTTCAGACAAATCCTTCCAAAAGTTTCTGAGTAATGGTCCGGACAAAGTCTCGTCTACAGACAGACGGACATGGTGATTCCAATATACCCCCCCTAAACTTCGTTTGCGGGGGGTATAAAAATCTTTCAATTTTAAATCATTTTGACAACTTTCATGTGTAGAGAAATTTTTTTAGCATTTTTCATAAGAAAGATTTATCAAAAAATCTTTTTTTTATATGAAATCTGTGTAAATTCTGACCATCAAACTGATAATGCATTGTCTGGTTAATCCTCTCTGTCACGCTGCCCAGCCACTGATGGAAGGATACCACGACTAACGACTCGTCTATAGGCTGTGTGCCTACAAAATTAATCAACATTAAACACATTGTACTTTTCAGAGTTTCCGAAAACCAAATATTTCTATCAGTCATTCGGACTGATGACTTAATGCGTTCTACCAGTCCGAAGCATATTCTATCAGTCCGAATAAATTTTGAAATAAAGTGTATATTGAATATATGTAAAAAATTTCCATGGCTCACAAATGCTGATTGTGATACCAGGGTTATGCAACTTATAAATAATTCAAGCATGGCACCAGCCCACACACGTTTGTGGCAGCTTATCAGCCCCAAGTAAATGTTGGGAGAAGGAAACAACTAATTATATAAAAAAAAAAAAAATAATTCTTGAAAAAGAAAATTTCTTGAGGTTTCTAGAACGTGTAAAATTGAATCATATATATAAATAGCAGTTATGATAGAAATTCAAAATAAAAATAAATTTTTAAATTATCTTTACGTTTTCTCAGTGGGCATTGCACTTCATGACCTATATACTGCATGGGTTTACCATAAACAGAGGCATGGAGGAAATTCGGATTAGAAAAAAAACGATCGTTTTTGGAAGTAAATAAGTCAAGTAGAATTGCAAAATGGATAAGATTATGGATATTTACGAAGAATAGGAGCTTGCTGCATTGAAAATTTTCATTTATGAAGGCATTGCAATAGATCAGAGTACAGTAAATTAATCAGGACAAGCCCTCACCACAATCTGACAATCGGTCACACGGACCGGTACTATAGCGAATTTCATCGGACATTTCGATTTTCTATCGGTTTTGCCGGTAGGACCGATAGTTTTCGGAAACTCTGCTTTTAAAATACACTATTCTATTTCCCTTTTTTACTGTGTACCATTTTCAAGATCAATGAATGCTGTATGTCAACATCAACAACTCATATATTCTGTTTAGTATTTACTTGATAAACTAAATCAAATAGCTAAAAAAAATTTAAACACCAAAGTCTGAAAACATTGGAAATATTTGTTGATGTCTTTCATTCTTCTTAACCACCCCTTCCCCCTCCCCCCATCAACAAAGATCCTCTTCAATATCCACAAACTGACCTGGTTTCTTGGCTGCTGCTGAGGCTGCCTTACTCTGTGGTTGTTGTTTAACTGGACTGCTTTTCTTAGGACTGTTAGGAGATGGAGTGTTTCCATTTCCTTCTTGTAAAGTTAATAAAGCATTGCTGGCCTGAACTATAAATTAAAAATAAATATGAGACTATGTCCTAAAAGTAGCTCACCTACTGGTAATCACTTTTCTTAATTCTTTATCTTCCAGTGACAAATCATGCCATGGCCCACTTTAATTCTTCAAAAATTTTTTATATAATTCCTATCTTTCAGGAAATATCTTAAGCTTACTTTTTATCCATACAGTAGAGCTGAAACGAATGTTCGAACATTCGTGAACGAATAGTTTTTCACGAATATTCGAATGGAAAATTTGTATTCGAATATTCGGTCACATATTTAATACAACGTATTTCAAGCAATAAATGGTGTAGGCCTATCCACTTGTTTTTGATCTCTGTGGGAAAAGAAGCAAACGAAAGCAAATACGTGTAGAAGACAGGTTGTAAAATTTGTCTACGTGGTACTATAGGCCTGATAAAGACACTAAATCAGATTTATTTAATCATCTTCAAGCCAAATATTCAGCAACCTCATGTGTTTCCGAATTAATTTAGATACGGTTGACAATGACCGCCATGATTTTTGAAAGTAATAAAAAATTTATATTGTGCGGAGAGAAATATTCCGGATCAACAAACGGAATCGATTGTTCAGATTTATAATTTATAAATAATTTCAGAAATCATATATGAAAAATATACATTATATTACCCATATATTTTTTTAGAATGTTACATATTAAATCTAAATATTGATTAAAAAATTCACAGGACGCTTCCGGAAACGAACCGTTTTTTTTATTTTTATAACAGAAAAACATGGCGAGACCTGCTGGTTTTCTGATCGGGCGTTTAACGTAATCGGAATGCAATACAGTCGCCTAATTTAAAGAAGTAAAAAGGCTTATAATTGTTGATAAAGATTCTTTTTCTATTTTTTTTTCTTGAAAATAAATGCGAGTCCTAATGCATATTTACATGTCAAACGGCTTGGAGCAGACGTTTATTTCTTAGGCCTACACTATTCTCTTTAGAGAAGTGGACAGGCTATCGCCTGGATGTAGGCGATAGCCTGTCCACTTCTCTAAAGAGAATAAGGCCTACACCTATCTTATACACTGATATAAAGAAATAAACAATAGGATTTGCAAGTATATGAAAAGGCATAATAACTCTTTTATTTAATTACCGAATGTTCGAATACGAATCGAATAACAGTCACGAATATTCGAATGTTGATTTATGGTATTCGTTTCAGCTCTACCATACAGTGGATAACATATATATACTTACCCAGTGTTTCGTCTTTTTTCTGTCTCTTGGCCGGCCGGACGATACTCTCATCGCTAATGACCACCTCTAACGTCGTAGGATCAGACACCTCAATCTCATTGTCTTGAAATATTGCTACTACTTGTCTCTCTGGTGAAGGCATATCTGGGGGTATAGTTACTAAAATTGAAAATTATTTCTTAGATGTATATTTAGCTCAAATGATCTGAAAAAATCAACATCATCCCTACATGTAAAGCCATAACGTTTTTGTTAGATATTTGAAATAATGAGGGGCTTACAGTTGGCATCTAAGTTTATGTAATATTCAAATTCTTCTTGAAGTTTTTCATCACTGGCAAAAGCACATATACAAGCATAAAAATGGACACATCTTTTGTGCAGATCTTCTTTGGGTCCTGGTTTAGTCTGGAACACACAAAAAATCATATTGCAAAGTACAAGAATAAAACCATTTTGCTTCTTCATAATGTTCAATTTTCATTATAGAATATCTAGTATACAGTTACCTTAAAAGAACGGCAAGTACACTGAAATTTATGCTCCGGCTGAGTTCGGTTTCTTGATGTCTCAAAAAAAGCAAAATGCAAAAACCCCAGTGGTTGCTTTGGACTGACTTTACACTTGACCACCATAATGTTCTTTGTGACTCTTTGCACCAGTGGTCCCGTGGTTTCTGTAGCTAGCAGCCATATGGCCTGCTTAGTTTCATTAGGGACCTGCAAGGCGTTTAGCACCGAATTTTTCAGAGTCAATGGTTGAGCTTCCTGTTCACAATCAATGGCGGCCCGGATGTGAGGACAGGAATCGCTCTGAAATCCTATCTGATTGTTTCGAGAACAACTGTCCACATAGCATCGAGCCGCTTGGTAAACGAGTGCCTGGTCAACCACCGTAGCGGGATTTCCGTCCATGTCTTGAAACAAAGGTAACTGTACAAATCCGCGATAGTCAGGCCCTCTGTCTCGTAGTCTCACTGAAAACACCTGGATGGTTGAACCAGTCATTATCTTTACAGCGTCAGCACTATGTCCCTTCTTCTTCTCCCTCTCTTTGAATACGACATCACACGCTTTGTTCTTACAGCTTATCCCTCTTGTACCATTATAGGTTCCACATTTTGGACATTTCCGTACGCCTCTTAATGTTGGTTTTCCTAAATCTTCAAACAATGTTTTTAGTTTGTCTGGTGTGGCCATTTCCAAGTCTGCAAAAGTCAATAGTAAGTACTTTTTACGTCAATTAGCCTATTGTATTTAATTGAGCTGAAAATTCTGAAAAATAAAAATATGCATAGAATTTAGAGGAAACAATATGAAATACAAGATACATATATCATAACAAAGGAGTATCTGCAAAATGTTTCAGATTAAACAATGGTCCAAACCCAAATTTGAACATGGGCCCCCCAAATCTACAATCATTGCTCTACCGAGTGAGCTATCTAGCTACTGGCTGTCCGCCAGTCGGCTTTCTTGTCACGACCCCAAACACACCAACACAGACTGTGGTTCAAATAAATTCATTTTAGCCATCCGCTATTGAATCCATCTGTTATATTCCTCAAAGACACCAACCCAAACTCTTCTCTCTCCTGTTACATGGTTTTACCTTACCATGCCCTGAAACTTGGAAGACCTGCCATGGAAGAGTCTGAGTAACAGTTGATATCTTCGGGGGCCAAGAAAAGAAATGCAGTAAAAAGACAGATTGCCTGTGGCCAGATATCTCAGTTGTTAGGGCACCTCTCTGGAGATTCTGGGGGCCTGAAATCAAATCCAAGTCTGGACCTTTTCATTTTTCTTCTCTCAAGTCTAATAAACACCATTTTTTCAGCTCACATATATTCCAATTTGTGTATGATTTGTCATAAAAAATAATCTCATTTTCTATTCTTTTTTCTTGCATGATATTATATACATGCAATGTTAACATTATACAGTTGTCAGGGGTTTAAAAATACAGTGGTCCGAGGTCTGGGACCTTAAGTTTAAGGGGTGGCATACTAGCTTATTGTTACCCTAAGATAGTCTGTTGGACTTAGTAGTTTCGAGAAGAAAAAACATTTTAATTAAAAGTATTTTAATTTTTTATTTAACTTCCTAGAATGTCTTATGTAGCCTCAGAAATTGATGAAAATTATAAGCATTTTTTTCTGAGTTTCTGGACTAGTAATTTAATAACATGCATGCATGACGGATAGTGAATTTTACTAGCTTAATAGTCCTTTGACCAGTGAATGTTTGGGGAAAATTTAAACCCCTGGAACTGAAATCTGTAAGACCCGAGTGTCACATGCCATGGATTAATCTAGGGCATATTTACTACCGATAATGGGTGTTTTTCCCCTACAGAAAATTTCCCCTGAAGATCTAATTTTTTCCCATTTGATGAGTAAAATATTCCCCTTACAATAGTAAAAACCTCAAATATTTCTTTTTCTTTCATAAAAACTGAAAATTTAAAGTAAAATTTTCATTACATGAGAAATATGGTTTTAATTTGCTATTTCATGCATTTTAAATGGTCATAAAAATGCTCGAAGTCAATTAGCCCCAAAGCAGGGCTTGCCCTGCACTAGCTCAAGTGGTTCCCATACCTCGGCTCATTTTCCCAATTTCTCCAGAAAGGGTAGTTTCCCCAAAAACCTAGATTAATCCATGCATGCAACAGTTGCACATCAGTCCAACCCATCGACTGTTTCCCCGAGACTCCTGTCTAAATCTGTTTTGTTATACTCCTTTGTCGAATGAAAAAGTAACTGAATTTAGCACCATATGACCTCAGCTAATCCGAGATTCCTCTGACTCTAGCCCCCGCTTTTATATTGTGACTTGTGCGGGGGAGAGTCAGAGCAGATGCCATATCGAAAACTGGGAATCTGGAAAAACCACCTGGTATTGCTACTCAGCCTACCTTTTACAACTTTATTTCGCGGAGCTAACTCCCGAGATGCGAGAAATCAGTAAAATAATTATTTTCCTACTTGTTAATTGTCATTCAAAGGATGCTTCCACCGTTTAAACAGCCCTATCACCGACAAATGAAGCATCGCTTGACCTAGGTCGCCTCCTCGCCATTCGACTGCTTTGCGCATAACATAAGCACACAAATACACAAAATTTCAGTCAGTTTGAAAGTAACACGTGCTCAAACCACGTGTAGGGCTTTCGGAAAATTATGAAAGTGTTGTGAAAATGCATATAAAATAACATAATGATGTTTCATTTATTTATTGATAAGGAAAGCAGCTGTCAAAAATGACTTTTAAGCTTATATGAGGTTTAAATCACCACACATGATATTTTCATGACATGATAGTTTGTTTTTGTATTTGTGTGTAACGTCATGCGCAAAGAAGTCGGATGTCGAGGAGGCGACCAAATTCAAGTGATTGCTTCATTTTTCGGTGATAGGGTTGTTTAAACGGCGAAAGCATCATAATTATGACGATAAACAAGTAGGTGAATAATTGTTTTACTGATTTCTCGCGTCTCAGGAGTTAGCTCCGCGAAATAAAGTTGTAAAAAGTATGCACAGAAGCGATACCAGGTGGTTTCCAGATTCCCAGTTTTCAATATGGTGTCTGCTCTGACTCTCCCCCGCACAAGTCACAATATAAAAGCGGGGGGTAGAGTCAGAGGAATCTCGGATTAGATGTCAGCGAGCAACAGCCTTTGCATCTATTTTAACAGTTTCTGGGAAAGACGGTTAATTTGTTGGACTTTTTCAAGTAATAAATGATATAGGGACTGTTAAGTGTATATGTAACAATAAAGCTCTCTGATTGTTGTTCATTGTATGGATCCTCATCATGTACACAGAGATTTTTAATTCATAGAATGAATCATTTGCCTTTTTTCTAGCGAGATTGCCACAACCAGAACGTCTTCTGTGCTTTACCTTACAGATATTTTCCTCACATTGAAAATATAACATATTCAGATAAGGAAAATACACTGTATTTACCAGTACTGTTCAAATCATACAGACGGTAACATTGTAAAGTCACCTCATTTAAAAGATTTCCCTGTAATTATTAAAATATTGTATTCCAAGATTCAAACTGGTTTTATTAAGTTCATATTATTTTTTCCGTTCTCTAGCAAACCTACCTGTGGTTCTATATTACACCCAAAACACAGATTTGCGCTCAGAAAATTATCGTCTGAAATTCTTCGGCTCTTCCACCATGACAGCTACCTGCTCATAACGCGGTCAAGACGAAAGAGCTGATTGGATAATACATGGCACATGATCTGCTGTCGCATTTCATTGGATAATGCGAAATAATAAAAAGAAAGTACAAACGTCTGCAATCCCGGATGACACAAAAACTACTTATTTCGTGCAAATTTTTTTCAAATAAAAATTAATTGATTACATAAGTGTTCCCATATAATGTTGTTAATTCCGTCCTATATTTCAATAAATCAAATCTGAAAGTGAGCCAGCTGCCTGGACACAGGTTTAGCTTCATCTTTATTTTTTAAAGTTGTATCACATAATGATTAACAGTAAGTGTGTGTTTGTGTCACAGGGACTTGCTCCCGGCGTGTAATAATAATTTATCTTAAAAAATCATATACCGTAATAATAAAACTACACGTAGTTTTATTATTACGGTATATGATTTTTTTAAATAAATTATTATTACACGCCGGGAGCAAGTCCCTGTGTTTGTGTATGTGGATATACATATATTCAGATTAGAATGTTAAATATCTATTGAACTACCTCCAAGAGATTAGTTTTTATCAAGTTTATAATTATATGCTGAGTGCTTATTTATTGAAATTATTACTTCTGTTAATACTTAAAATAATTTTTTTAATTACCGTCTTCAATACTTAGGGTACAGGTTTGCCAGACTGGCTGTATAGAGGCACCATCGCCTGGTGCCCTTTGTATTCAAGATGCACTAGTTACATATCAGAGTACTGCTATTATTACAAGAATTTTTTTCTTATATTTATTATTTTTATCTATTTTTTTTTTTATAATCCAATGGTTTTTCTATACTTTTGATCCAGTAAATCCTACATTGTCATGATGATACATCTTGTGGTGATGCACTTCTCAATGTCAAACTTAATCATTAGTCATATTACATTATACACCTTTGATGTAGAATTGTAATCTGTGTAATCATATTGTAATAATTTGTTCATGCCCCCCCCGAGGGCCCTTAATTGATTCATAGGCGTAGTCACGGGGGAGAGGGGGGGGGGAGGGGAGGGCAGCGGGGGTTGTCTGTGCCACCCCCAAATTTTTAATGTCGAAAAAATCAAAGGTATTTTAAAATAATATTTAACCTCATTTTATGGCATTTCTTATGTTCAACAACTGAGTATAAGCATTTCTCTTGAAGTAATATAGTTGTACAATATAGTAATGTAATATAGTAAATATTAGTAATTAAATCGTCAAGACCTCTTGTGTTACCAGTTTGGGATTTGGAATGCTGGTCCTAAATTGGAATTAAAAGTAACTTGCCTTTGGAAAAAAAAGTTGCCCCCCCCCCCCCACTAATAGGATTTTCGAGTTTGGGGAACATTCACTTTTGTTTGTTTGTTTGTTTTGTTTTGTTTTTTTTTTTTGTTTTTTGGTTTTTGTTTTGTTTTGGGGTTGTTTTTTTTTTTTTGCTTGTCAAAGAAATTCTGGACTTGAGCCCCCTCACTTTTAAGTTTGTGACTACGCCTCTGTGATTGGTGAATAAACATTTATGTATATATGTTCTTCTTCTTCCTTTTAAACCACAAACCACATTCTGGTGTATTGTCGTGATTGGTACTTGCCCATGGGGAAACAAAGATCTATTCACAGTTCATAAAAAAACATTCTGGTGATATTTACAATTAAAACTGCCGGAGCTAGGTCATTCTGATAATGCTGTCCTTGAAACTTTCCAGGCTAGAGGCGCTGACAGCAGTAGATGGTAGGTTGTACCATAGTGTTATTTGCTGATGGAAAGAAGGACTGCTGATGACCCTGAATTCTGGAGTAAGGGAGCTAGAACCTGATGTTATGGCCCTGTGTTGTTAAGTTAGCTCCCCTTGGTACAAGGTATAGTTTTGTGTTGGTATTGCGATAAGATGGTGAACAATAAGATAAAGCATGATGACCTTTGCTTTATGTCTGCGCTCCTGTAGTGTTGGCCATTGTTAATCTTCGAGCATCCTATTCACACTAGTACTAGTTGTTCTATAATTCCCAGTACTTAACGAAGCGTGCTGTTCGCCTTTGTACCATTTCCACTTCATAGATGTTTTTCTGAGTTACTGGGTCCCATATGATGGAAGCATACTCCACTATTGGTCTTAATAAGGTGGTGTAACACTGCACCTTGATAGTGCTAGGGCATGTGCTGATGATGCGTCTCAGAAAAGCAATGATTATGTTTGTTTTTCTTTGTAATTGTTCCAATGTATTGATTCCATGATAAGTTGCTACTGATGTTAAGGCCTAGATATTTTGCTGACTTTATTGTGGCTAGGTTCTTTCCATGGATGGTGTTGTTTCTTATTATCGGTTTCAATTTGTTGGTCACACGCAACACTTCACATTTTTCATCGTTTTTCCATGACTGCAGTCTTTCATGGTCTTCTTGGATGTAGTTGCCAGGTGTTTTCTTCTTTACTGATCTTTCTGTAAAGAAAACAGTCATCCGCAAAAAGACGGAATGTTGATGTTACTCTTTCTAGAAGATCGTTAATTATGTAAATTAGGAAGAGAAGTGGGCCAAGCACCGTTTCCTGTGGCACCCATGATGTGACGTCTGGTGTTCTTGATGACTTCCTTTCTAAGACGACCATTAAGAAAATGTTGATCCACTCTAATGCCCTGCCTCTTATACCATAATAGTAAAACTTGCTTAGGCGTCTTTGATGGGACACCTTATCAAAGGCTTTGGAGAAATCAAGAAGGACACAGTCCATTTGGTCTCCACCGTTCAATCCATCAGCCAGCTCTTGGAGAGATTATGATGAACTGGGATTCACAATATCTTTGTTTGCGAAACCCGAATCCGATAATATTCCATTTGCCTCAAGGTATCAAAGTGTGTGATGATGTTGCTGTGTAATATATGCTCCATTAATTTACAACAAATAAAATGTTAGGGAGACTGGTCTGTAATTTGAAGCCTTTCCTCTGTCTCCTGTGTTATGAGGGCCTCTTTCCATTGATTAGGTATCTTTCCTTGTTGTATGGAAGCATTGAATATGGTGGTAAGTATGGGTGTTAATTCATTTGCTAATTCTTTCAGTAATTTCCCTGGGATGTTGTCTGGACCGGTGGCAGTGGCCTTGTGTGGGTGTGGCCTTGTGTGGGTTGATGTTCTGTAGGAGCTTCAGGACACCGGCCTCGTGAACTGTGATGTCTGGAACAGGTGAGTAAAGGCTGTTGGATTTCTCAGGTAAGTTGGCTTTATCTTCCTGCGTAAATACTGAAGTAAACTGTTCGTTCAATTGCAAAATATTGGCTTTAGTCGTGGTGTCACTATGAAGTATCCCCTCTTTACACAATGGCGCCACCCCGGATGTTTCCATTCTCTTGCTTTTGACGAATCCTCAAAACATTCGCTAAGCATCTTGGAGATGTACGAGTTGTATGTTTCTCTACATTTCTTCTGAGTTTCTTTCTTAAGGATGAAGTGACTAGCGGCCCCACGTATATGGACAAAAAATTAAATATCTAATTTTTACTCAGATTTTTGTATGTAACTACCGGGTAATCACTGATTTGTGTACCTTTATAGAATACTATTTTTAACAAAAATAAAAACATGATTTGAAAGATATACATCTCAGATTGGGGTAGGGGTATCATGTTTACATCAAATTCCCATTGCATTTTAACCCCGCCCCACTCTTTGAAGCCCTTAAAATATACGAGCGCAGATAGGTACTATTTTCTCCTTTGACTGGTTACTGCATTTTATTCAAATCTACCAATATGTGAAAGGAGAAAATTGTACCTAACTGCGCTCATATGCTATTTTTAAAAATATTGTTAAATCTAGATGGCCTTTCCCATTATAAGCAGATCGACGGAACTAGATTTTCTGACGTAAGAATGAATTCATATGCTAATCGAGGCACAGGCGATACTTTCTAACTGACCAATCAGCTAAATGAAATTCGTTACGAGTGAGTACCACAAAACATGCTTGGAATTTTACTGCTTGCCGATATTTTTTTATGCATTTGAGTCACAGATTAGACACGGATCTACATATGTACCTTTTTCGAGACCACAGTAAAATTTACATACAATTACAAACAATTGATAGAATATACATCATATATACATTAGTTTAAAGTTTTGTAGCGTCACTAGATAGCGTGTTTGGTGAGCAATTCGCTAGGTCTTCACGTATTCCCGAGTATCGGTGAATACATGTTTCATGTGCATTTCTTGACCTAAAAACCATAAATGCTGAAAATCCATGCGTATTATTAAGTATAAACAGCATTGGCTGACCATTATAAAAGTTGAAATGTAGAAAAGGATAACAGGTAAATTGACCTTAAGTAACCACGTGTCTGCGATAAAATGTAAACGTACTAAACCAGCATGTTTTGTTGTTCTGTCATCGGATTGGACAATGACTAAATTCGAAATAATAACAATAGTCATATAAGGTCTTCTCGGACACGAACATCCCTCTATTGTACTAAGACCCGCCCATTCTCTTGCCATAAAAGAAAATATTCGCACAAACCTGGCCGAATTTAGCTGTGAAAGGATCTAAAAAATCAAAGATAATGCAGTTTTCCTTATAATTAAAATGTGTCTGAAGTATTGAAACTATTCAAAAGGCGTCTTCTTTATTCACTCGTGTTTGAAAACTACCAACATCGTTGTAGATTAAATATAATTCGTCGTGGAAAAAGGGGCCCCAGATAGCAGTTATGTCACATCATCCTTTCCTTAAAGTTATTCCAATCTTGTTGCTTTCCACTTTTCTTGGCTTTGTTGTAGCACCACTTTTTCTTTTTTGATAGTCTTTTCATTTTCCGGCGGATCCACACCTGGTTAAATCTTTCACTAGTGACTTTTGATGGTAAATATTTCTCCATTAAGTTGGCACACTTTTCTGTGAAGTTGTTTCATAGGATGTTTGTATCAGTAGTTTCAGAATGCTTTATATGGAATTCCTCTGCAAACTGTCCCATAGCTGTACGGAGGTTTTAAATATCTGCATTCTTTCAAA